ATGTTTCTACATTTAATTGACCAAATGTGTATGGTCAGATAGGCCGAACAGGCAACCGAGCAAAAATTTAGCTTGGACGATAAGAATGGGCTGAATGTAGCCCGTATTGGTCTTAACAACTAGGATTGCGTTGTCCCAAAGAATCAATGGTGATGTTATGTTGATAAAAATTTTACTCAAATAACGAATAGACATTACGTGTCCAAATAAATAGACAAATGAAGAATACTCTAAGGGATTCCAGCTTTCATCGTCAGCTATCTAGCTGAATATGAGGTGTGCCATCTGATATGACTACCTCACCGGACATGATTGACATACGGATTGAACTAGACCTAATATTATAGGGTTAATCTCATTTTGTACTCTGAAAGATTGTTCGAATCTCAATTTGCACTCTCAAAGATCAAAAATCTCAATTTACACCCTCAAAGATAGAAATTTGTATCAATGTGCACCCCCAAAGATCAAAAATCTCAATTTGCACCCTCAAAGATAGAAATTTGTATCAATGTGCATCCCCAAAGATAAAAAATCTCAATTTGCACCTTCAAAGATAGAAATTTATATCAATGTGCACCTAAAATTAAATTAATAAATTATATCTTGATCCCCTCATGTTTGTCACTTAATCATTTGAACTCCTTCACATTTAGAATATTCCCCTTACATCTCATGACGTTTATGCATGTGTAACACATAACCACTTTTCGTTGATATATATTAATATAATCGTTAAAAAATATGATTTTATCCTAATATAAAATTATAATTTTATATTACCTTTTATTTTGTGGATTCGATATACTCTAAAGTTGAAAATCAAGCTTACCATTTGAATGTCTAATAAAATGTAGATATTTATATAAAAGGTAATATGTAAAATATTATATAAATATTTATATTTTATTAGACATTCAAATGGTAAACTAGATTTTGAACTTTATAGTATATTGAACCTATAAAATAAAGGGTAATATGAAATTATAATTTTTTATTAGGATAAAATTATATTTTTTAACGGTTATATTAATAGATATCAATGAAAATGGGTTACGTGTTATACGTGCACAAATGTCATAAGATGTAGGAGTAATATTCTAAATGTAAAGATGTCTAAATGATTAACTGACAAATATGAGGGGATTTAGGTATAATTTATCAATTTAATTTTAGGTGCACATTGATACAAATTTCTATCTTTGAGGGTGTAAATTGAGATTTTTTATTTTTGTGGTACACATTGATATAAATTTTTATTTTTGAGGGTGTAAATTGAGATTTTTGATCTTTGGGGGTGCACATTGATACAAATTTCTATCTTTGAGGGTGTAAATTAAGATTTTTGATCTTTGACGGTGTAAATTGAGATTTAAACAATCTTTCGAGGTGCAAAATGAGATTAACCCATTACTATAAAACCAAATTTGAGCATATACTTACGGGGTAAGTGGGCGTAATTTATTTCCCAAGAAAACAATTCCAAATAATTCCTTGGTTTTCCACCAACCAAGGCAATGCTCTTCCTATTCCTATACCCTTTCTTTCCCTTCCTGCGTCTTCTATCTCTTTCATAAGTATAAAAACCCTAATCTCTCTTTTAATACCAGTGGTGTCGCGTTACCTCTGAGAAATCATTCCTCCCATTGACGTCCTTTAATTCTTCCCTTCAAAAATACCAAACACTATCAACTTTGCCTAATTTCTTCGCCCATACAGAGACCTAACACAATCTCAAGCGCTGATCAGAATAGTTTCCTATCCAGCTATGGTACGCTTCAATCCCTGCTATTTCTTTTTTGTTTTTTTTTTCAATTTATTGTCCTTTTAATTTAATATATATTTTCTATTGGAATTCAATATGTTTTCCTTTGATTTTAGCAAAATTACGAAATTATAAGTGCTTTTGTTGTTCACAAGATTCGAAAATGAGCTTATTTAATTGAATTATGTTCATGGTATGCAATTTTTTTTTTTTTATCTGCACAGGCTGCAAAGATTCTTGCGAACTTGATCGTAATGGGCTCTGGCATTTTGGCTAGGGCTTTCGTTCAAGCATATCGTCAAGCACTTGCAAGTAGGTTCCTTATTTTCTAATTAATTCCTGGAATTTCAGTTCTCTCAGTAATGATACTCAAGTAGTTGATATTCTATACAAAAGTGAGTGGCTTCCCTACTGAAACGTTATATTTACCCATCATGAAGATATCTGTATTCTGTTTGATGAACTTCCCCCACACAAGTATGATATCATACACTTAAAAATTCACATTGGTTTGCCCCTTCTTTTTTTGTGCATTAAACTGCTTGTTTACTACGAAAATTGCCATCCTCCCTGCTCATGGCAACTAGATCCTCCACCTATCTATTTTGTTCTTGCCGGCTGAGGGATGTTTGCTTATGGAGTAGAACTGCCACACTGTCGATGTTTAGATTTTTTTTCCCCTCCTTTGTGTTAGTCTATTTTTTTCTTCCATCTTTTGCCGACCGCATAGGATACATGAAAGTTTAGTTGGTCTCTACTGTTGGGTCACTTCTTTATAGTTAGCATGCACTTCAGTTTGTGTGTCTTTGATGCTTTTAGTAAATACAGACATACCTACATGGTTACATCCATATGGAGTGAAACCCATAGTTTTGGACATTGATTTCCAAATAAGATAGGTATTGTCTAATGAAGCTATTTGAGTCATCTCTGAGAGTGCAAAGATTGAGATAAGCTTATAGGCATTGTGGGACGGCCGTTCAAGTTACAACATTTTGGTTGCACAATGAGCTGAGGAAGTGCTTCTTAGCTGATGTTGCATATGTGTGGGAGCAGAATTGTTGCTGAATCTCCTTTTGATTCATGATAAACTAAAGATTTCTGGTGTTTCTGATAAAGTGGTATAGCTTGGATTAGTACAGCTGGTGTTGGGTAGTTGGTTTGGTTTTATAGTTGGAGTTTGGGGCTGGGTTGTTATTACAACCACAGGAAGATCCATCTATTTGTAGAATGGCCTTATTTTTTTCAGTTGTGTGCCTCAATTGAGCAAAACAGGTGATTAATTATGGAGTAAAACTGTCATGCTGTCGATGTTTAAATTTTTTTTCCCTCCTTTGTAGGAGTCTATTTTTTTCTTCCATCTTTTGCCAACTGCCTTGGATACATGAAAGTTTAGTTGGTCTCTATTTTTGGGTTACTTCTTTATAGTTAGCATGTACTTCGGTTTGTGTGTCTTTGATGCTTTTAGTAAATACAGACATACGTACATGGCTACATCTATATGGAGTGAAACCCATAGTTTTGGACATTGACTTCCAAAAAAGATAGGTATTGTCTAATGAAGCTATTTTTCCCACTCCAAATTCTCTACTTCTCACACGTGCATTTCAACTAATTAATCAAAGTCAGGCTAACCGCATTGCTATTAGGTTCTAGGCAAGTGACTTTTGGTTACTAGGAGGATTCATACTTTTAGATCCCCTATTCTTGAAGCAATGAGCTTGCTTTAGTAATTTTTGATGATGCACTTATGAGTTGGGAGTTATTTTGGTTACGAGGGATTATACAAGTAACTTCATTTCGAAAAAAGCGTAGTCCTCTCAATCGCTGAGGGCTCCCAACAAAATTGACTGTGGATTTTAAACTTGACTTTTCTCCCTTGCAATCCCACCGAGTGGTGGACCACGGCAGAGCCTGACCCTCGAGATTAGATCTAAGAGGGTTATAGCTTATTCAACTTGCAGTCAATTAGGAGATATGATCTTTGCTTGCGGCATCTCTAACTATTCTGCTATTAGCGCCTTTCACTTAATTAATTACGCGTTTTTCAAAGTATTACTATTCTTGAGTGCAAGTTCGATGATTCATGCCATGTCGCATGAGCAAGATATGCGGAAGATTTTTTTTTTTTTTGGGGGGGGGGGTTGCCTCCTCGTTTCCTTTTATCTATGTCATGATATTCATGGGCAGCTTATATCTAATTGGATTTTCTTTTTCAATTGATTTTATTCCAAAGATGTGATCTGCAAATAATAGAATCCACCAATAGGCACAAGCAAGCAACCTACTAGCACACAAATAGATAGGGCAAGCCAAGTGCGCAAGGAATGGATTTTTGAGCTGTCAAAAGAGTCAGTCTTGAAAACTGAAGTATTGATTGGAATATCGGGGGTTCAAATTCCTCTCCATCTGTAAGCCAGCTCTTTTTTATGCACTGCTATACCCTAAAAGAAAAATGAGTGTTGCTCCTCTAGGCACTCCCGTGATTCATGAGAAGGAAAAATGACTCATCCTTTGTTGTACTTGGCACGAGATGATAAAGAGAGAACGTCGTCTATCGATGAACAGGGGATTGACAGAGATGATGGAGACCACCTAACTCACCTTGACAAAAAATATTAACTTCTACCAAACTAATAGGGCCATCGAAGAATGCAAGAGTAGTTGATCAATAGTCTCCTTGCTCCATATATATCTACACATCATTTAGACAGTAGTGAACAATTATTTTCATTAGGGTAACATAGTAGTAGTATTGATTTTCATATGAGCAATAGAGCAAGAGAACACTTGAACTTGAAGAGGCACTTTAATAGTTTTACCTTCCAAATTCTCTTTCCTAGTGTTGAAGTCATGGTTTAAGGTCGAGGTATCGGTCGACGTCGCAGAATGTATCAAGAATTACACATGAAATGTTTCACAGAAGAACAAGTTTAACATCATCTAATATATAAATCATATTGCGGCATTGTGGAATGATGCTGGCCAATTCAATAACGATGATGTGGTGACTCGGGTTTGCCTGACGTCTTGGACAACTCGGCAGAATGGCATAAGCCTTGTGGTTTATGCGAAATGTCAAATGGTATCAAATCAGAATGGATCAAGTTGTATAGGTATCGGCTGATGCTTTGAACTATGGTTGACACTCATCAGCTTGTTATTTGCTTGCTTCTGATCAGTTGGTCGTCAACTATCTTGCAAGATAAATGCCACCTAGTCGATTTCTTTAGACTTAAAGTGTCTCGACAATAAGTGGCCAGCTTAAGCTAGTCCATATAGGCTTTAAACTATGTTTTGAGGAATAAGAAGGTGGAAGTATATATAGACTTATTGCTCTTGTGTTGGAGATGCCATGCACACTCTTATATCGTGGTTCCACAAGAATCAAGTAGAGTTGTTCTTCTTGTCGATACCAGATCAACAAGTGTAATTTTTGTTGTGCTGTTGAGGTGAGAGACCGCAGGCTTTTATTCAGTGTCCATGATGGTTGTTGGGGACAGGGAAGTCTTGATGGGCGGCTGAGTTTGGTCTGACAAATGGAGAGAAGTGGTAGATTTGTTGCTTGGTTTGATGTTGAAGGCATTGGATGCTTCCCAGCTGGGTGGGATGGGCTGTTTGGCAGATTAGCTGGGCCTGTGTGGGAACACAGATAGAAATTGGTATGGGTTGTTTGCCAGATTAGTTAGGCCTCTGTGGGAACATGAACAGACTGTTTGGGGGGCAAAATTGGAAATTCGGGCTAACAGCTCTGATAAGTGGTTCAATGAAATTTTGGAAACAACAAGGGCTGGAATGAAAATGCTAGAAACTAGAAAAGGTGTTATTGTAATTATCATTGCAGTATTTTATTTTATTGTTAATTTCGTCTTCTAGAAAGTGGAAGGTATTTGAACTATTTCCAAAATATTTTTAAATGGCACTAAATCTTGGAAAAATGTGTGAACATAAACTCCTGAATCTATGGGACATCCTCTAGGAGCAGGAGTCCTCCTCTCCACATTATGGTTTTTAGTTTTTATTTATAGGTTCCCTAATCTCAATTGCAAAAACTTTTTCTGGGAACCAAAATGTGGAGGAAATCAATAGAGACATCAGTAATCTCCCTTGTTGGTTTTTAGTTCATCGTCAGGGTGTCCTAAAGATGCCGCACATCAATACACATTGTAAGTACTTTGCTCGTTTAAGCCTTTTATACCATAGGTCATATATTTGGTGCTGCTTCTGCACACCTTATCATTGGTGGGATTACCATTGTTTTTGTTTTATTTTATTCTTTTTGTGATAAAAATCATTACTTCCATTCGGCACTTCTAGTCAGCCATTTTGCCAGTGATTTTCAATTCCTATTAGTCTGGACTCTGAAGGCAAACTCTGCTCCCATTCTGAGTTATTGTTTCCTTTTTTTTTTTTTTGGTTGCTTTAGTTCAATCCTTGTTTGCAGAATTGCAGTTGATGTTTGACAATTTTGGGAGGGAGCGAAGTCGAAAGACCCGGATTTGTTGCTTTCATTAAGTCTTCTTAGCTAATGTGAGAGTGAAGGAGGTTGAAGGGCCATGGTTTTTACATAAGTATCATTGGAGATGTCAGCTTCCTTTTTATGAAGGATTTGCATTATTCATATAACATTGTTGTTTGAGTATTTTTTTAATCTAGACATCTGCAGCTGGCCCAAAAAAGAAAAAGTAACTAACTCCATTATGTTGAGATTCTTTAACATGTGTTTCTTCCGAGTTTGACATTAAAAAGTGTCTCCCACCCACCCCTCACCCCTTGCTTTGACCTTAGTTAGGTCAAGTGGCTTGGGTGATATGATATGATATGAAATTGATTGGCCTCTTTTCAAATGCATTTGTCTAGCTGTATCTAGCTGCTTTCTTAGGGTGGTGTTAGCATTTATTCGTTCTTTTTCTTTTTTGTATATAAAGCAGGCCTTTCTTAACCATGCTCTTTAATCTTTTAAATCTACTTCTCGATGTGTTGACAAGTGTCAGCCTCTTGGGTTAAAAAGGCATGTATTCATTGGGTGATTCTGGCAAAGAAGCTCTGTTTATGCATGAGGACCACCATGGTGCTTTGCTGAGTGAAAAAAATTACAAAGTTGGCTTAGATACCTATCATTGCTTAAAATCAATTAATAATATGTGAGTGATCACAGATGCCTCAAAATCCGGTGTTGCTCAGGAGACACTACAGAATACTGTTCGTAGAGCGAGCAAAGTTATGTCAGAGCAAGAAGCTAGACAAATTCTTGGTGTCACCGAGCAGTCTACTTGGGAGGACGTTTTGCAGGCAGGCATTTCCTATTTGTAATTCCGTTCTCTGCATATTAATTTGGTCTTTTAAATAAAGTCCTCATGTGTTTTCTTCTATGCATGCAGAAATACGATAAATTGTTCCAAAGTAATGCCAAGAATGGGAGCTTTTACCTTCAATCAAAAGTTCATAGGGCTAAGGAATGTCTGGAGAATGTTTATAGAGGCAATGATCCGGGTACTGCAGGTTGACAAGATTTAAGTAGAGGCATAGTAGGATAGGTGACCTTCAAAGGGATCACTAGAAAGATGACTTTTTCATGCACATAGGATAGGGCGTTTGTTTTGCTTGTATTGTGATTATGGAGTCCAAGTCATAGGTTTTGTTTCATTATATTCCAACTGTAAACCCATTGCAGACAATGAAGAATTCTTGAAATATCGTGGGACCCATTGCAGTAATAACACGTCTAGTTAACCTATGCATTATCTTATTCCCAGATCTTCTGACAGTGAACACATTATTATAGCGGAAATTGTGTAAACTAAGCCTGATGTCTGCAAGAACAGAAACCAAGAGATCAAATTCACTTCCAGTGTCGGTAAGCAACTTCATCACATTAAATGAATCTTCCAAAATATGTGGGATAAAATTTAAAGTAATAACTATTTTATTAGATAATTTTTTTTTGTTTAATTTATAAAGTTTGATTCAAAGCTGGTGACAGATGCTGGGTGCGTGTGTGGTCAACAAAAGTTGTCAATTTGAATCTGTCCAAGACTCGATCAATACCTAAGGAAACAACACAGATACTTCTGTACATATCCAGCTGTACGTTCAAATTCTCAGGACGTTTTATTTTGGCCAGCAGAACTTAGAAATGTTTAAAAAAAAACACAAATAAATCATAAAAGAATAATTAGGTTCCATTATATTTAGCTTAGAATAATTTTTTTCTTTTTTTGTTCGGTGGTCAAATATTCAGGTCAGTTTATGCGCACTTCGATCTGGTCAAAGGTAAATTATCCAAAGACTAAAATATTCACGAGGGATATCCCTCGTAACTTGATCTCAGAGATTGTCAAGACTCAAATTCAAGACTTTTGAGTTTACAACTCGTCCCTGTTATATACCCTAGGATAATTAAATCTTACTTTTGATAACTTATTCCCCAAAAGTCCTAAACTTTATTAATGGTTTGTTTTGTTTCAATTTTGTTCTTTCTATGAAAAACACAAATTACATTTTTGTCTATAAACCTATATTTAATTATATTTATTAAAATATAATTTTTTTAATCTTAAATTAAAAATCAAATAAGTTATACTTTTAATTATCAAAGCATTCACTAGATTGATATGTAGAATTCATATACAAGTGATCTTACGTAATATAAAAGTCATTACATAAATAAATATTTTTCACTTTATCTCTTAAATACAATATTGTAACTTTCAATGGTTGAATTTTTTTATGCCTTAAAACAATAATTTTTTTCTAATTAATTCAAAACGTGGAAGGAGAAGTTAAAAAAAAACATAATTAGATCAATTTTTTCTCAATAATTGTATTCATAGACTAGTTTTTACATTGTTAATTCATATAATTGTATGTCTTTATGATTGAGATTTGATAGTTAAATGATTCAAAATTAATATGCTTAAAAAATTTAAATATAAACAAAAATAGAATTGTATAATTTATCATTTATATAAGTCTTTATTGTTAATTGCGTGTTTTGGATTTTATGCACTAATTAAAATAAATATTTTGCTTTGAGTCCTAATAAAAAATATTATCAGTAAAAGTATAATTGATTTGTTGATGTGAAGAATAAAATTGAAATAAAACAATTCCTTTGTTTTGGGTGTCCAAACTAGTTTACGTACATTTTGATTAATTTGATCCTCGGTTCAGTCAAAAACAGATCATATACGTCGAAACTAACGTATTTAAGAGAATAAATCCCTTCTGACCTGGCCTCAAAAAATTACTAAAATTTAAATTTAGGATTTCTAAATTTATAACGTGTCTCTATTATCACTTGAACTATTCAAAGAGATTCTTTTCTTCGGCCAATAATGGAGCTAGAGGACACAAGGCTGGGCATAGATCTTGGGGATGTAAAGGGCGGCCACCTCTTTAAGGTTTGAAAAAATCTTTATAACATATAGAGTATAGGTTAGATGATTTTCACAATTATTTTCACAATTATAAAAACTTCGTTTGCCTTAACATTTTCTCTCATACAATTTTCCCCCCGTTAAATGAAATTGTTAAGCAAATCGAGCTGCTCAAGCACAACTTATTTTTTGACTAGTAAGTTTCAACAAGTGAGTTGAGTATTAAAAAAATTATAAGTTTGTTTAGTATTTAAGTGGAACTCGAGTAATATGCTACTTACCTCGATAGAATCAAGTTTGATTTTTTTATAATATAGTATATATATATTTTTTTTATGATGAAAAAATAAAATAAGACACTTATCTTCATAGCTTCAGTTACTAATGAACTAAGTTATTCATGAACGACTCGGTTTAAAGCTCATGTATTTATGAAAGCGAAAATTAGTGTTGAGTCTTATTTAGGGGATTTTTAATGAATTTAACCTATCACTCAAATTTATTTGACGATAAGTCCTATTTTAATTTTACTAATAAGTAATTAAGTTCACAATTTTTTAATAACTCCAAAATATTCTTCCTTGAAAGCAGCGTTAAATTAATTTATTATCTTGAAAATTATTATCTCTTAATTCAATGTCAATTGAGATATGTTAATAAAACCTGCATTATAAATTTGAAATTCAAATTCAAATAATCCAGTTGAGCAATTCTTTCTCTCTCGATGGACTGCCAGCGAAAAAGGAAAAAGATTAAGAGCCATTCTTCGAAAAACTAACGTCAAATAGATGTCTCATCCATTGCAGCATCAATACCATCTTCTTTTCTTTTCATGGCAACATCAATACCATCTTCTCTTTTGATCCATACATTCACTTCTTCAACATTCTCAGTTTACTGACTATCTATATTTGAGTAGGTGTATATATGTACGTGTGTGTGTATATATATAGAGAGAGACACACACACACACACTCATAATGACAAAGAGAGGTGGCTACCATCGTCACACACAGAGAAAAATAAGGATGCTATAAATCAGAATGGCTAGTACAATTTTTTTATTGAGTATGTTACAATTTTTTTTTACTATATTACTAACTTTTTTTTTCATGTTGCTGCTTTTTTTGCGAGTATATATGTTACAAATGTTAATATTCAATGCTAGTATTTTGTGTTTGAATATTACTATTTTACATCATATATCTATATATGTGTGTGGCGGGGGGGGGGGGTGTCTGAGAGAGAGAGGGAGAGATAAAATAAACCTAATTTAGATATAGATATAGATAGATATAATATAGAAACAATTTTAATGCTAGTAAAATTTTTAAAATTTTAGAGTTGCTAGTTTTTAAATTTATTTTAATTGAATATAATTATGAGAATGTTTTGGACAATGGATATGAAAATGTAATTATTCCTAAACAAGTTTTTTGAATAAACTCAAGTCCAAAAAAGGGGATCGGTCAGCAAAATTCCCTTTATATAATTAATCGGGCTCAAATTTGGTTTTAAAAGCTCGTTCGTTTACAAAAGCTATTCACGAACAGTTTGTACTCTCTCTTTCGGTATTGGAAAATGTAGGTTGAGCTTTATTGATGACTATCCTTGGCAGGTCTCACTATGTTTCTTAAAGTACAAGAATGATGTCTTTGTACAATTCAAACAGTGGGTAACTATAATCAAGAAGCAGAACGGTAAACTAATCAAGTGCTTGAAAATTAACACTAGCATGAAATTCTAGTGTTATTATGCAATAGTGAAATAATCTTTTAATTTTGAAAATACAATTGACATTCAATATGTCCAAAACTAGTCTAAAGTATGTTCGTAATGTGTGTATAGTCATCTATACACGAGTCTACTAGTGATTGTCTTGTGCGATACATGGAATTAACTATTGTTCACCATCACCCCTACTACTTTCCGCTCACTATCAACCCTATTTCCACTCTCATTCCTATTGATAAAATATCTATTAATGTGCCAATTAAAAAAAAACTTAAATGTGAAGTACTTATCAAAGATAGTAGAAAATTCAAATGTATGGTAAGAAATTGTAAAAGTGGTTCCAAAGGCCATAAAAAATAGTTTAATTGAAAATTTTATTTAAATAATTTAAAATTATACGAATTTAGTATCTGAGGAGTAAAAACTTCTCGAGCCCTCTCTCAGTCCCATAAAATTTTGATTAATTATAAATATTAGTATAGATATAAAAGATATAGGGTACACAGGCTTTCTCTGGTGGTGCATATTCTTAGACATATGTTGAGCAAACTTCAAAAGAATTGTCTAAGCCTACAACATATCATGCTGAATTCCAACTCTTTAGCTTTTCCTCCAAGCTAAGTAGATTGTGACTTCTATGCTTCCATGTTAGGAAAAACAAAGTGGACAACTTGTCAACTGGATTAATTTTCTCATGTAAACCAACAACCTAACAAAATTATTAAAAAAAAACACACAAAATTAAAAATTCCACTATCAATCAATTCTCTCATAGTAGCCTCAGCTGTTAAGGTATTCAGGAGTGTGACTATTTTAAATTTACTTGGTATAGGAACCCATCTATCATGCCAAAGCTTAACCCTCCTTCTATCTCTAGTTCTTTACCTAGAACGTACTTCAATACCCTTCTAAGCTTCAAGAATACTTCACTAGGTATAAGACGGCCTATGACCTAATTTTACTTCCACAAAAGATGATGAAGAAAAATATCTCGTTTTCAGCGCCTTACGTTAAAGGGTATGCCTTTCATGGTATATTCTCTACGCTTGCTTGGATAGTAATGTCAAATTAAATGCTCTAAGATCTCGAAAGCTCATACCACCCCTCGACTTACTTTTGCACATATTTTTCCAATTAATCCAGTGAACTTTTCTCTCCCCATTCCGTTGCCACCTACCAAAAATTAGTCGTTAGTGATTCTAGCTCCTCACACAAGTAATCTGGAAAATTAAAACACCCCATAGCATAAGTTGGAATCAATTGTGATAATGTTTTTATTAAAACTTCTTTACTGAAACATGATAAAAATTGCTCCTTCTATCCTTGCAGCTTTCTCCATACCCTTTCCCTAATGTTTTTTGAAAACTTCCTTCCTTGACTGACCAATAATTGTAGGTAGGCCACAATATTTTCCGTGTTGTTGGACCAACTTTATCCCTAAAATTTCTTGAAGCTCTATTGCCCTTTCTTCAATAGTACTTTTGTTGCACACCATAGCCGACTTCTCCGGGTTGATTTTTTGACCTAAAGTTGATTCATAGGTCTAGAGGATATAAAGGATTGGACTGGATTAGATTCGATTGAATTGGATTTGATTGGGGTCATTTTGGCCAACGTAACATTAGTGTCATAGAATAAATGAACTAGTTAGACGATAGATTGTACTAGATAGTTATTTTATGGCTTTTAGTTTTAAGTCTTGCCAATGTAAGATTGAATTGAATAGTTGATTACCTAGCATGTAATCTTGTGGTTTATACTTATCAATGGGATTAGTTTGCATTGTAAGATTGAATTGAATAGTTGATTACCTGGCACGTAATCTTGTGGTTTATACTTATCAATGGGATTAGTTTGCATTAACTAATTCAATCTCAAATGTAATATGACCACAAAACAAATCTATAAGTAATGCCATTTAACTCGAGGGATAAAGTCTTTTTACAATTATACGTGTTTTTCTTTCCACTGTCGACAATTTTACATGTTTGACTTAATATCAAATTACTTTTTTCCTTAATAAAATCTCGTTTTCTTTTGTATGGAAAGATAAACGTGAACAAAAATGTGTAGAAGAAAAATCAACCAAATTAAGTTTAAGAAGTTGAGGCACTTTGGATGTTTTTGCAATACAAGATTGCTTCAATTTGAAATCTCATATTGTGATTTAGCAATCATAGGTTAAAGAGAATGAATCATACTTAGATGATTCCAATCAATACATCATAATTCTTAAGAGTTATGTAATGGTCAAGTCTGGCCTCTTGTAAGTAAAAAATTTTAGGTAAGGCTGTTAATCAAACTAAGTTACTTGAGTTTGACTTAAGTTCAACTCGGTTCATTTTCTTAACGAGCCCGAACTTGAACAAGTTTTTAAGTTCGTTTAGAAAGTAAGCCCTACAAGTTTAGCTCAAACTCGACAAGCTCGACTCGTTTCTATGCAAATACTCGGACTCGACTTATTTTTAGCTCGTTCAGACTCGGCTCGTTTCCCAAATAAACCGAACTTAAACAATTTTTTAAACTCGATTAAGAAACAAGCATTTTAAGCTCGGCTCGGCTCATTCAACTAACAACCCTAATCTCAGGTTTAATATTTCTCTCATTCGCTAAAAGTCAGCCACCCTTATTTCTCAGAGACATGTCGTTAAGTTAGCTTCAGTTACGGTGGTCAGTTTAGAGTTCGAGAAAATAGTCAATGCAAGTTTGAACACCCTGTACTAAAAAAAAAATACATTATCAACACCGATAAAAAAAACTTAGATATTAAGGAGATCTTAATCAAAAAATTAAATAATTTGACAATAACATCACCCCCATTGACGTACACATGCAACAGGAAAAGAGACAACTTGGACAAATGAATGTATACTTTTTTTTTTTTTTGCTTTGTTGAATGAATGTATACTTGAATTAAAGGGTAAAGTGGGTGAAAGTGTAATTTATTGTATCATTTACGCCGATGAACAATAGTTAATAAAAAGGCAAAAAAAAAAGTAATTTAATAAATTAATTTAAATTTTTGGTAAAAAAAAATTAATACTAAAACAAAACATAATTTGTCCCTTAAATTCCTGCGTGGAAGGTGCGGTGTCTTGCTCCTCTTTTAACTCTCTCTCTCTCTCTCTCCATTTTGTGCTAAATTCTAGAGAGAGAAGCACCAAAGCCAGAGTTCCCCTCTTTTACTCGTTATTTCAACAACAAATCCACATACAAATACAATTTTTATCACGATTTTTAAGCGCTCTTCGCATTTTTCGCTCATCTTTCTCTCTCTACCCACCAAACCCCACCTCTTAGATCTGGCCTTCAACACCCTCCTTGTTGGGTGCAATTCCCTCAGGTTCGATTTTTTCTTCAATCCTTAGATCTGGGTCTTCGTTAATTGCTCGGATTCTTTTTGATTGATCCCTTGCTTCAGATCTGCTGCGGCGCTGAACTGTTTAAATTTTTATCTGAATTTCCCTATCTTATTGAAGATTCAGCTCATATTCATGTAATTTTTGATTTGTCTTTGACCTGAATTCTCAATTTTAACCAATAATTCTTGATGTTGTATCTTTATAGAATTACGTGGTTATGATCCCAACATTTTGATATATGTGGATGAAATTGTGGTATGTGAATATGGTGTTGTGCAGTTGTATTAATTTGAGAGTATTGTATTGCCCATAGAAGTGTTCATTTCTTGTATTGGATTACCCCTATTGGTTTTTGATTGGGTTGTGATTAGTTGAAAAGATCCAACATCAAATGTTGCTCTTGAAGTTTCATTATGTTTTCTGTTCTTAGTTCGATTTGAGATGGCTATTTTATTGTTCCCATTTGATTGTGTAAAATTGGCTGCAATTGGTAGTTTTTTTTTTTGTGCAGAAAACTGAACAACAGAAAGCCATTGTGTAAATACTAAACTTCCTATATGTTGCAGGTTTTGTTGGGCATGCTGATCGTTCTATGTGTTTTATGTAATAAATAATGGAATCTATGTTTTGGGTGAGTTAGGGGGAGGAGATCGGACTTAAGTAATTATTATATTGTTGCACCATTATGCCATCTGTTGAATTGGGTGCCCAATTCCCCGACAAACGATTCTTTGTACATGAGTTTCCTAGTTGGCATTTTACTTAATGTCTTGCAGTTGTCTATATTACAAGGATGTTATTACTTTTAAGCTTTTCATCTTTGAAATATTGTCTTTACATGGGTTTGTGGTTTTGCTTTATGATCCCATTTGCCCTATATGGTTTAGTATGGGCTAGAGGAGTGTATATGAGTTCTTTGGTTGCAAGTCGGTTTCAAGAGTGATTTCTGTCCTGAGGTTCCTATCATTTCGGTCAGAGCAAGCCCCACCACATCACAGGTGCAACTCACTTGGAGGGACGGCCAGTAGGCCAGATTAAACATACTGGTCAGCTTTGTCCGAACCCATCTTGAAAGCCGGCTTGCAAGGGAAGGGTGCCTAAGAATTCATCTATATATAGTCAACCCCATATTTGACCAATATGGGACATGTAAGATCTTAGCATTTTGACCTATTTTTTCCTGTTGTTGCACTAGTACAATTGTCGCTATGACTAAATTGGTAGAACTTACCCCGTTCTTATATTCACACAGTTGAGCGGTCAAACTCGCACTTGACCGATGTTGGATAGATTATAGCATTTGACCTTGTCTTTCCTTTTTCGTACGCAGGTTTAAAGCATTTATTCATAATTTATTTTCGCTAAAATTATATTGATTGAAACCGGAGCTGAGTCATATAATGTTTGACACACCATATTGATATTCTGGGTTTTGATGTTTTTTGTTGGACTGTTATACTTGTGTTGTGATCTACGGAATCTTATGTTACATCATGGGGCAGTCAATAATTTAATTTTTGAAAACCTTCTTAGGTTGAAACTTTTCTTCTTGATTTCTTTGCTACCACATGTCATCTTTTGTTTGCCGACTATAAATACCTGCTTGTTGGTGTAAATTGTGATCAATTTTATTTCCTTGCAGCAGTTCTTGAAAACAGTTTGAAGTGTGCTTCAGTTGGAGGGGATTTTTCCTTCTAAAAATTGTAGTCAGAATGAAAAAGGCTTTTGATCAAACTGTCAGGGACATGTAAGATTGATTATTGTTAATTTCTTATCGATATATTGTAACCTCATCATTTCATGATGTTCTGTCATTTTTATACTTTCTTGCAGTAAGAGAGAGGTGAATAAGAAAGTTCTCAAAGTTCCTTCGGTAGAACAGAAGGTAAATTTTGTTTTGTTTTGTATATTTAATTTTTTTCCCTAGTTCAGTATGGTACTTACAACCAAGGTTGTTACTTGGACTCTAGAAGCATTAGCATACCACAAGAACATTTTTCTGGGTTACTCCAGCAGAGATTTGTTTTATGTCTTTCTGATTGTTGCATGATATATTCCTGGTATTTTTTGAGAAAACGCTTGGAGATTTGTTGTTATACTTATCTTTGTCCAACCAATAGGCATCTTCATGGGATCACAATCATGTGGTCACTTATGCAAGGCCCTGATGAGTTGCTATGTCAATAAGTGCATCCACTGGCTACTGGCTATAAAGCCCAACCATGGGGCATCATGAGACTACAACTTCTATTCAAAACAGTTTTGGCTTGCATCTAAACCTCTTTTGATAATGTGCCTGAATATGGAGGAGTGACTTCAATATTTATCTAGCAAATCCAATGACTGAAGGGAAGTTCTTAGATAGTGTACGACACTTTAGAGTTGGGCAGTAGAGAGAATGTTAACAAGTGTAATTCATTTCGTGATGTTAAAAGAAAACCTCTTGTCTGCATCTGAAGTGTACCTGATGGACATTGCTGTCCAATATGACAAGTTCAGTATGCCTAATCAAAAGAAATAGGAAGTTCTCTATAGTGAATCAGACATTGTCTATTTGTATCTTTTTGTATGTGAAATAACCCATGGGTAGGCTGAAATTGCAGTCACAGATGATCTGTGAAATTAGTTCAGAAAAGGAAAAAGGAAGATCATCTCTGAAGTAGCTTCTAATGAATCCTTTTGGCTCTTTTAGGTTCTTGATGCTACTAGCAATGAACCCTGGGGTCCTCATGGATCAAACCTTGCTGACATTGCCCAAGCGACAAGAAATTAGTGAGCTTATTATACTCTCTGGGAATAGTTGTGGTTCTTATTCTCATTCTAGATGGACTTATTTGCAATTATCCCTGCAGTCATGAGTACCAAATGATCATGGCAGTGATCTGGAAGCGTGTCAGTGATACTGGAAAAAATTGGAGGCATGTCTACAAGGTTTACTTTCTGCTTATTTTATTTATCGAATCAGTGAAATAATTGCTTGCTTATGTTTCCTTTTGAATTAGTCAGTGCCCTATCTCCCTCTCTCTTTCATATATTCTTTCCTGTATTACGAAATTATGAATTCCTTCTAAGTTAGCGATGTTACTTGTAACTTCCTACCAATCTAACTTTTATCTTTTTGTCATGCTGCTGTTTCTCTTTTTCATATTAATGCTACTCAACAAGTTTGGGTGTTGTGCTTCAGGCTTTGACGGTTTTGGAATACTTGGTAGCTTATGGGTCAGAGCGTGTCATAGATGAGATCAGGGAACATGCGTACCAAATATCGGTAACTTTCTGTACCTTTAGGCTATTTTTAAGCTGCAAATTTCCTGACCAAAAAAAAGAAAGCTGCAAATTTGATGATATATCCTTATGCAAGTCTTTTGATTACATGGAAGCTTGCTTTGATTAGTGTTTAGTCATTGGAGTTTTTTCTTCCCTGTGGCAGACATTGTCAGATTTTCAATATATTGATTCCAGTGGGAGGGATCAGGGAAGCAATGTTAGAAAGAAATCTCAAAGTCTTGTGGTTCTAGTGAATGATAAAGAAAGAATTCAAGAAGTTCGACAGAAGGCTGCCACTAACAGGGACAAGTGGGTTTTCTCTCCAAAAAGTTTTGATGGTTAATTTCATGTCAACATAATTTGTTCATAAGTATCATCAACTTTTGATTTTTGATTGATCCTCTATATTTCCATAAACTACCTGAAGAAAACCTTATCCCAACTATTTAAACTGAACCAAAAGGTGAGTTCTCTCCTAACTTGCTTGCTACCTGGCAAGTTCCTGTGCTCTGACCTCCTTGCACTTAACTGCTTTGGCATATGGGCTGGGGGATTATAAGGGATCCTGTGTCTTCTGAATTTTTGGAGATGCAGCCAATCACTCTTAATCAGTTCTATGTTTCCTTTTCATATTGAAAGTCAAACCATTCCAGGAATGGAGGGAATATTTCATCTGGCTGACAACCCGCAAGGTTGGGTTTTAGGTTTGAATAAAAAGGTCAGCCACTAACTGCAATAATGACAAAGTTTGGGCCTATTCTCTATCCGCATTCTGCCCCTTCCAGCAGTATATATGGCCATTAAGTTTCCCGGAATCTTCTCAATTCTCGTCTGTGACTTTGAGTTCCCATAGAGTTCTTAGGGCTTTATTGAGATTCTTTTCTTCATTACATTTTACTTCATTCATATGGTGTTTCGATTGTTTCTAATGTTTTGCAAACTTTCTATTTTCTTTTACTTTTAGGTTATGATTTTTTTAAGCTTGTTCATCAGATAATAATCAGTAACATATCATCTTAGAGATATTTCTTGATATGCCTGATTATTTAGGAACTATCCTCAAGTTTTACCGTCACCAAACAAAACGACAGGATCCCCTCTAAAGGCTTTAACCTATTGCTTTCATGGCTTCTTTTATGCTTCATTATAGGGAGATATTATCAAGCTCTCCATGTACTTCATACGCTTATATGTAGCTATATACCACTTGGGCACTAATCATACTTGTCAACCGATAACAAATAAAGGAAGACTGAAGTAAAATTCATAATTAATTGTTCTAGATATTTCCTCTCTGTTGGCCTGAATTGATTTGTCACCAACTAGTCCTCCTGTAGCGTGCTTTTATATCCACTTCTCTTTTTGTGGGGTTTGGAAAAGTCAATTTAAGAAATTAGCCTCATCTTAAAGCAGGAATAACTAATTGGGGGAGCTTTTACACCAATCTTATTATTTCTTTTTATTTAATTGTATATTTTTTGTATGTTTTCTTTTCTCACAAGGACTCCTTGTCCTCGTGTACTTTTTCTCAAGTTTGATGATTAATAAATTTTCATGTTTCCTATCAAAAAAAAATTGGGGGGACTTTTCCTTTGCACAGAAGCTCATCAAACCATAGGAAGAAAAGTTGAGAGAAACAAGGTAAGAAAAAACTTTTACAATCTGAAGTCAAAGCATCCTCTAAGGAGGCTTGTGCTTTTTTTTCCCCCCCCTCTGAAGTTACTGCTTACTGCATCAAAAAGATACATTATATAAAACAATGTAGAGTGAATTGATATACATATATATATGTGTGTGTGTGTGTGTGTGTGTGTGTTCTTCCATGTCATACGTGATGGCACATGATGCAGCTAAATCATCTTGTGGGAAATGCTAATGAAGGCAGAAGTGCTAAACTTGACCTGGCTTATCTCCTATGGTTTTGTTAAAATGCCTCGTAATTTAATCTGTATTACTTTGTAGTCCTAAAAACTCACAAATAATGTGGAGCTCTATATATAATCAGTGATATAGAGTTTAAGTATGCTCTAATAATGAAAAAGCATGTGAAAGGTCTAGTATAGACAAGCACAAGAGAAGTACATAGTAGTATTCCAAAAATTAGGTGATAATGCTCTTAAATCAATGCAATCTTAAGAAAATAGTAGCCGAAAATTAAGAATCATTCTTTAAAATCTGATTAATCAAATAATTAATCACTTTTAGAAGTTATAAAAATGCCATTTTGAAATGCAGGACAGAGGTAGGTTGTGCATAGAAACACTAGACAAATAAGAAACATAAACAATGTAACTACTTGAAGGAGTGAAATGTGGTTCTTGTTTTTGTTTGGAAGGTGAAGTTATACTTTTGGAAGTGACTAACATATGAAGAAACCTTACTGTGTACTCTTTTCTTACTGCAGTATGCTTGTTTTGAACAACTGCAGCCTAGATGTTCTTACAAGAAATTTTTAATGGATGAGTTTTTTCATAGACTGTAAATATCTTCACAGGTATCGCAATACATCAATGGGTGGCATGTATAGGCCCGGTTCAGGAGGATATGGTGACAGATATGATGATGATCGTTATGGAAGCAGGGATGAAGACCGAAATGGGTATGGGAGCTCCAGGGATGATGATAAATACGGTAGGTATGGGGATTCATACAGCCGTGATGGGGATCGTTATGGTAGCGAATTCGAAGAGCGCTACAACCGAGATGGCTACAGGGATGATGATTACCGGGGAAGAAGTCAAAGCATTGATGACAACCAGTATGGATCGAGAAGTAGAAGCTCTGATATAGATAGGGACCGGGCATATGAAAATGATGGACAGTATTCTTCTAGGTGCACCTACTTCCTACTTCAGTGTTGTACTAATTTTAATGGTGAACCTTTTGTTAAGAATATGTCATAGAGAAATTTGTGGCATGTTTCTCAAGCTTAGATATGGAAGATTAAAGAGGGTATTTATTAGAATAGATGATGCTACTGCTTAAAAAAGATAAAAAATTCAAGAAGAACAAAAGCACCCTGATGGGGATCGTGTAGGAGTTGGATAAATATTTTAGATTAATCATAAAATATTTATCCAATTCCTACATGATCCCCATCACACCCATTGCCCACCAAAGCCCACTTGAGCTTTTTTAGATATAATCTAGCCAACTATCTGCATGACTAGGGTGCCGAGTTGGTGCTTCAAGTGTGAATCTGTGGTTTGGGCACATAGGGCACTGGTTTGCTAGTTGGTTCCATTGAACCCGTGGATGCAAAACCCCGGATTCGGTCTAAAATGGATATCCTCTTTACCAGCCCAAATTCTTATCAGTTGAAGAAGGTTTAATGTCGTATTGCAACCCTTCTTTATTTTAAAATCTTTCTTTTATTCATTCCTTGGGATTGAATTTTTTATTTTATTATTGAAGAAGAACTGGTAGGTTTGAGGTTTCCTTCAGGTACTTTTGGGGGAGTTATATCTGTGTTTCTTTTTTGTTTTTTTTTTTTTTTTGACGAACATGCAAAGATAGGACACACAATTTTTTACTACTTTTCCCGACATCATACCCGTGTATTCTTTTTCTTGCTTTTCTTTTCTTCCTTTTTTTTTCTGCTGCACAGTGGTCTGCCGTCATTCTTTCTCCGTCGCTTTGAGTAGTTCGTTTTGGGAGTGTTACAGAAGGGTAGTCAGTTTATTCATGCAAGACTTGGTTCCTTTTTTCAAATATTTTAAATGTAATATCCACTTGATTTGAACATTGCCACCATTCTTCCGACTGTTATTTCCTTTACCATTTTCATCGTTAAACCATATTTGACAATGACCTTTGCAATTATGTTCCTCTTCAGTTGAGTATCTGACATATGCCACTTCTGTATTTGTTTTGCATTGACATTCAATAGTGTAATTAACTGATATATATATATATGTATCGCCAAAAAAAGAAAATTCATTGACACTCTGCAGATGCTCCTGATCCAAGTGAAATTTAATTAGCACTGCTTTCTCTCTGCTGGTTTTGCCTCACTCTCACTCTCGCCGTTGTTCTCACTCCTGTTGTGTGACTTAGGATAGATCATCCTCCAGAAAGTACATTAAACAGTATAGTATTGGTCTTTCTAAAAATCTCTAAAGCAGATGTGATGCTTCTTATCTAAAGAATAATTATGTATATGTCTTATATCCTTTTACAAGAAAAACAAGTTGATTGTGCTTAAGAGAACCTTACTCTAGAATAATGGTTTACTTAAACCTTTTCCTACAGCAGAGGAAGTGGTGCCAAAGCTGATGATCATTCTCAGGATGGAAGGTAATAGTCAGGAAACTGTTTTCTATATGTTGGTGTCATTGGATATCTTTGAGCCAATGTTTTTATACCGAAACTGAGTGCAGTTCAATATACTGACAACTGTGTGTTTTTGCTTTTCTGCAGTGCTGGCCGGCGGCTTGACCGGAAATTTTCTGAACAAAATCTTGGTGCTCCTCCGAGTTATGAAGAGGCTGTGGGTGATGCTCGTAGCCCTGTTTATAGTGAAAGGTATTGGTTTTGTGTCTTCGACTTTCGCCCAACTTCTACTTGGTCCTTAGCTGAATCGGTTCTTTATGTATCTGTTGTTAAAAGGGATGGAGAAACTTCAGCAGCAGCTGCCACTATATCATCAACTTCCCCTGTGAGCGGAAACCATGCAACCACTGCTCCTGGCACTCCAGCTCCTGCACCAGCTCCAGCAGCTCCAGCTCCTGCACCAGCTCCAGCTCCAGAAAAGAAGGAAGTTGATGGCTTCGATGAATTTGATCCACGTGGTTCAGTTTCAGGTAGGTAACTGTCTGCTTCAGGATCCCAACTGCCACATATAACTGCCTTAATCATCTGTTCATAACTGCACATCAGTACTTCTATGCGCAGATGAGTCTTTTGCAGCCATTGAGTAAGGTGGTTTAAGCTATGCACATTTGTTTTTTTTACTAGAAACATATGTTTATTAATATGATCATAAAAACAGTACATAAAGCAAAAGATGGTGCACAAGATATCCAACCTCAATGAAACAAAAGTAAAAAAAATCTTAAAAAAACAAAAAAGCAATAAAGTCTAAAAGCTGTCAACTTGGACTGTCTATTAATAACAAATACCCTCCATCCAGCCAAAAATATAAAAAGTGGAATTCCCTCAAAATTTTTAGTGATTGAGACCTAAGAGATGCCAAAAGAATAACGATTGTAGATGCCTTCAACCACCTCGCTCCTCTCTTAAAAAATCTGAGCATTTCCTTCCAACCAAATCATCCAAACCGTAGCAAGAATTCACAACTAGATTGAGTGACTCCTTTATTATGTTTACTAAAACCCTTATAATCCGCAACAAACAAGGAGGATGAGGACCAAGGAATAACCCAACTCAATCTTGCCAAAGAAAATAACTTACCTACAAAGATAAAGCAATAGAGCAATGTAAAAGTAGATGATTAACGCTGTCATTATTGACTTAACACATACCGCACCTCAGCGGAGTAAGACAAATTTGAGGTCTCCCCCTTTCAACTTCGAAGCATGCCATTAGTATTAATCTTGCAATAACCAGTTGTCCATGCACAAACTTTTATCAGAGTTGGCACTTTAGCCTTCCAAATCATCAATAAAGGGAGAAAAACTAGACAATAAGGATCATCAATCAAGAATGCAAAGAAGGACATACAAGAGAATGTGTCAAAGGACTTAAGCATCCATCTTCTGTTATCAATGGACTTGTGGTTAAATAAACATCATTGAGTAAGGGAAGAAGTGACACTAAATCAAGAGTATCTCTATCATTTCAAATTTGTTAGAAACCCAATGCTGTTTATGAAATTTATGCTTATGTGTATTCATCTGTGCGTTATTGTTGCACCATGATAGATCTCATGTTTGTATGACTGCTTCCGTAGTTGTATGTGCTTCTAGCTACTATGCAGCAATTGGGTAAGGTGGTTTAAGCTGTGCCAATATGTTTATAAAATTTATGCTTGTGTATATTCAATCTTTGCATTATTTTTGTAGCATGATAGATCACATTTTTTGTATGCCAGCTTCCGTTGTATTTGCTTTTACCTGATCTAAAAGAAACAAGGACACTTCTAATACGGTTGCATGTCTGACATAAACACCGATACTTGTTCACTCTTGGACACATGTTGATATTCTTTTGTTGGTGTCTATGATGAGGAAATAGAAATCTTAACTTTGGACAAGTGTCTGACACTCAATGTGTTTGACACTGTCTCGGCTGTATCTATGACTAACTAGACATGTCACCAAGAGATGCTTCAATGTTTGACAGTTTGAGAATTTGTTATATGACTATCTTCTACTATGGAAAACAAGTGATTGTTTAGACTAATCCTATTAAAATTTTACTTCAAATATATTTAAAAAAACCACTTAAATGTTAGGGCTTGGACTGATGGAAGAAATATTTAGTGATTTGTCCTTGATACACATTGTCTATGACCTGTTTCTTAACTATAATGGTACACTAGTCTAAAAATTCATGGTAGGGTACTACATAAAGATTTAGCTATTATAAAGTACTAATTTTCATATATAGTGTAATATATATATATATATATATATATGTAATTGTGCATGTTGATAGACTATATAACTTAATAGACTGTATAAATTAATGATGGGTTAACTACACTTAGCACCATTGAGTCAACAATTAGTCCCACTTTGCCCTCTCATGTTGCATGTTTAATTTTTTGAATATGTTGCAATGGGCCCAAATTGGAACATGACATTTTTTTTTAATAAAATCCCCTCACTTGCCACTCACTTTTTATTTTCAAGGATCAAGGGAAGGGAAAATGTAATGGTGTTTTTATATGTTTTAAAAATTAAAAATATTTTTATTATAGTTGTCCACATAAATGCACACCTTTTTTCACATTTGCCTCTCCTTATACCTTGATCTTTGTGCCTCCCTTTCCTCCTCTCCCCTCTTGGCATTCGCCTCCCCTTCTTTACCCCCCCCCCTTTCTGACCACTCCCATCCTCTTATTTACTTCCCCCCCCCCCCCAAAAAAAAAAAAAATCAACCAATGACCAAAGGAATTCAAAGGCAACTTTGTGCAATTCCTCTTGGAACTCCGTTAAGTCCCATAAGTCAATGACAAAGTGAAAGGCAAAGAGAATGGATTTGGTATACCAAATGAATTCCATATCAGAGACCTTGAAGAATACAATGAGTTTGTGACTCTAGTTTTTTTCTAATAATCTGGTGCTTGTAGATGGTGGTGGACAATGGTTTTAGCACCTTTGATGATGAGTGGATGTATTTGGGTGGGTTTTTTTTTTCGGGACATGTGTTGTTGATTTCAGTGGTGGGGTGGTCTTAGGTGGTGGTGATTGATTGGTTGGAAGTTAGATGTGTTGGTGATGAATGATGAGTGGATTTTAGGTCGATTTAAATAGTTAAGAGTTATGGTTTTATGAAGAGGCTAGATAGTGGTCAGGGAGGGAGATATGGGGGCCATAGACTATCTGAGATGCCACAAAACATGGGAAGATGGGTACAGAGGAGATAGGGAGTGCACAAACCATCAGCGGGTTGGAGAGAGTGAGAGGATGTGCATGCACTATAAGGGTTGCCAAAGAAGGGGGAAAGGGGGCACAAATCACAAGGGAACCAAAATAGGGCCAAGGTGTAGAGAGAGAGAGAGAGATAACAATAATAAGTTATTGAAAAATAGAACTAAACTTACCTTTTGCCTCCTTTGGCATAACACGTGTCAGCACGTGGGCTGATTCCACCAAGAGAGCAGCCTTTAATTTTGAGGGGGCAAAGTGCAACTAGTTTTAACGTCAAGGTGCAAAGAAAAGTTAGACAATCATGTGCAATGTGTCCTAGTTGTGTTTGTCTCTTAGTTTTTTAGATTTGATATGTCAATGTCCCAAGTTGCATCTGTATTTTTTGACCTAGTGGATAAAAAGACATTAAATTAATCAAATTTTCCTGATGTGGAGGCAATAAAGAAAGTTGCACAAGTGATATATAACTTACAAAAAAGTGAGCTAATCCAACCAACCTTGGTTGGTTGCACAAGAGAAAGGGCCACTAGCTTATCTTTCTAGGGAATCAATTGGCCAAAGTGTGCTTTGATGAGCCCATGCTAAAGTTTCGATCGATTCTTGCTAGTATCCTCGCCAAGAAGTTAAGAACATAAATCTAGTAGCCCAAGCAAGAGGTCTGACTAAGAACAACCATGTCCAGACCGATAAACTATTCACCAAAGCGTTATATCCTTTGATGAGTTGTAAGAGTTTAACCATAAATAATCTCATAACCAGTCTGTCATATAAGTGGAAGATTCATTAAATTGTGAAACGCTACATTTCCATAATGTAATGTGCTTCCCATTGCCAATAAAACGTAACACATCCAGTTGGCTGTTTTTTATGCAAAAAAGACAAAACGGGATTGGATTTTGACTCATAAGGAAGGAAGATTAGATATCGTTGACTGGGTTGTATGTTTTGTTGAAATGGCATGGTGTTCAAGCTCTTGAAATGTAGTCTAGATAGCGGGCCCTCTCCTTTTTGACTGGAGTGACTTAGGGAAGGGCCAGTCTCCTTTGGAGCATGCTTCAAAATTACTCATTCGTCTTGACTAAATAGTAGAATCTATGTCTGAACGATTTTTTGCTCCACCTAAATAGAACACTGAGAAGAGACATAATGAATTTTTTTGGTTGGTTCTTCCTAGATGAATGATTGATTGATGGGACCAACAATCACTTAGCGTGATCTTCAATCGACCCTAGGAGCAAGCTAAAACAAAACTCACTCTCTTGCTAGGATTGAAGTAGGACATTCTCCATCTGCCCGCTAGCAGCAGAGGTGTTTTGATTCCCGTTATACACAATGTGGCAAAAAAGACTGATATAAAGAAATATGTCTTGCTTATCAAGAAAGATCTCTTGTTCTTATTATAAGATTGTGATTGGATCTGCATATGTTTTGTAAAGAGAATAATATTCTCCTTTGAGAATGATCAAAAGAAAAATGGGAAGTGTTCAATTGGATCACGAGAATGTGATTAAATTGGTCCTAGTTACTCTTCGGGACGGAGTGGAATAATAGAGGGGATTCTCGAACACGGAAAAGGATCCAATGATTTCAAATGACTTTGAAGGAATTGAACAAGGAGTCGTATAAGGTGAAAATCTCATACAAGATTTTGTAGATGGGTTGTAAGGGTGACTTCTCTGTCAACTTGTGTCTGTTTCCTGGCCTCCTGCCATATAGGAACTAGAATGCATGTAAAGAATAGTGATAAAAGTTGCAATTGAGTCCGAAAGGACAACAACACAGAATTAGTGACGCACACATCTATCATACACCCAACACTGACACCCCTTACCAAACCCGCTACTGGTCAACCACCACACCCTCCCAGAGCCCAATCTGGATCCACCTCCACTGTGCACCAACAGATGAGGGATCCATTGACTTCCAACCTGAAAGAGTACTTGTGTGTGGGTGTGAACAAAAAAAACATTGTTTTTCTTTCCAAATTATTGATCAAAAATTCGAATCGATGACCATGGAATATAACATGTGCTTAAAATGGGGATTGAAGAAACAGCAAATGTTGGAATAAGAATATCAGATTCCTCTCATTGTATTCGCTCTGATTGCCAGAGTGGACTGACAAATCAGCTATGGATAGGTTTTGAGCCACTAACAGATGTGTGTGTGTGTGTGTTTTTTTTTTGGGGGGGGGAGGTGTGTGATTGTGTGTGTGAGGGGGTGTATTTGTGTGTGATTGCCAAGCAAGAGGTGCACGGAGAGAGAGATGGGAGATTGTGAAGGGAAAGTCTTTACCTGGGACTCAAATAATACATGCGGCTGATTTTTATTGGTTAACTGCAGACCGCCAGGTTTATGGCTCGACCATGAGTAACTAATCTCCTGGTTGAATATACAACAGAAGTAAAATGACTGGAATGTAGATGTGGATTGGTTGCTCTAGGATTGGGTTGGATTATTGTTGAAGGCTTGGACACAATCACCCATTCAATTTAAGTTGGGTTTTGCCTTAGAGTTTTCAGTGATGTGAAAGCAATTGCAATACCTGTTGATTAAAATGCTTTCTATGTGCTGACATTTTTAATTGTGGGATTTCAAGCATACTAGGACATCCTTATCCTAGTTGGTTCTAACTGTATCTTTTCAATATTGTTGTGGTAACCCTCATATTGGACCTTCGTCACATCTTCTTTACCAAACCCTCATATTGGACATTCGTATAAAACATAGTTGTATTGAACATCCTTCATTTGGCTTCTAAGCTTGTGAAACATTACCATAGTTTTTAGCTGTGGACAGTGTGTGATGACAAGTAAGTATTCATAAACCTATATGGAAGAATGTACATCCTTCCTAACGTTACCAACTTGCCTTAATCAAGCTGTGATTACCCCAAATTTCAGTTGATTTGGCCTGAACTGGTAAGAGTTGATTTGCTTGTTGAGCATCTTACACTTTCCAGCCTTCTCATGTAGTGCTTTGAGCACTATATTTCTTCTTAATTTATAAGGTGTAAAAAGTCCACGGAAAAAGGCCAAAATGGGGGGTGCGTCTCTGTAGCTGCAAGGTGTACAATGGAGCCAGCAAAATATATAAACTACTTACTCACCATAAAATTATCTCGAAAAATCTATTAAAGAATCTTAGAGCTCTGGAGATTCTCATACAGCGCTCTGAGCATTTGTTTTTGGAGCAAGTTGAATTTTACTGCTCTGTTGAGGGAGTGATAAATGAACACACGATTTATTTGGATATGGAGAGGAGGAGGGGCCGATATATATATACTTTCTAGGTTGAATAAAAGATATACATATATTACTGAATGGATCAATGACTCAATAGGACCGTATCATGAATGGGAGATGATTGGTAGTTTGAATTTTGAGATGATTCGTCTGATACCGTTTTCGTACTCCATTAATTTTCATTCACGTTTGCTAGCTAAGAGCCTCAAGCTGAAGTTTAGTCAGCTTATTCAAAATTCTGGTGTATGAAACTTGACAGCCCCATGTAACCTTGTCTGATTTCCCTTTTCTGTATAAATATTTGGATAAACAACTCTGGTTTACTCATACTCTTCTGGTTTTACTGAATCAATTAGTTATTCCATTCTATATTAGTTTATTTTTGCAATTGATATTGACTAATTACAAGGGTTTGCCATGTCATTGCTGAAAACATAAGCATCAAATTGCGTTCATGATTATTGCCTGGAAAGCACATTTCTATTGCATAAGTTACACTTACTAGACTGTTGCTTAGTATTTTACATCACTTGATGCACTGGTTTGTGGGTGGTTGCACTCACACCTGGACTTTATGTTGTAGCCTCGAGTTCAAAAGGCACATGGTGGGGGTCGAACGTTATTGTCTATTTGAAGTTTTTACATTTTTTTACTTTTCTCTTTCCTTTTCTCCAAATGTTAGCATTCATCTTAATGCACTTTGTAGGCAACAGTTGGCCCTTGCAGATGTAGAAAAGAAATTGTTGGGGTCCATCACACTTTTTTAGCTGGGGTAGCTGGGGGATAAATACAGGAACTTTAAAAACATCCGAAGAGTAGAGAAAGTACAAGCATATTAATAATGGACATTGACCGTTGACTTACCTACATTTTAATTCACTCATCAGTTTTTTTTTTAAACTCATGGTTTGTTCTCTCTCTGAGCAGCAGCCCCAACTACATCAAGTGGTGCTGAGATGGACTTGCTTGGTTCTCTGTCGGAGTCGTTTTCTTCCAACGCATTGGCTATTGTGCCAACTATGTCCGCATCCCAAATCTCTGAAGCTGATGAGACTGCAAACTCTGGTATTGGATCCACATTTATGGCAACACAGTCAACATCCACCATCTCTCCTCAGGTAGGCTTTGTATCCTATATGGTCACAACCTAGAAGCTTCAACTGTAACAAATTGATTTGTGAAACCTGATGTGCAATTGGTTTGGGGGTTCCCCTATATGAAAGCCTGAACATTCGGCATTTCCAGTTAGAATTTTACTGTAGCCATTGCATCTCTGCTAATTTAGGTTTAATTGTGAATATATGAAATTGAAATTATTTCTCCACTTCCTGTGTAATGTATAATATATTGGATGGATGTTTTGTACTTGAACGGTTGTCAGAAATGAAATACAATAATGGTCGAGACAAATTGTTTCATGGATCTTGAACTATATATTTTGTTCATCCAAGATGTTATCTTTTATAATTCAGTTAAAGGACTTTTTCTATAGTTCAAATTCTATTGTAAAATGTTTCCATGCAGTGAATGTCTACAATAGTATTGCTTCGTTGGAAACTTTTGTCAGAGGCTAATCATTTTGCTCTTGTTATGTTGTATGAATACAGTGGACCCCCCCCCCCCCCCCCCCAAACCCACCAAAACCAAAAAAAAAATAAACAAACACCACACCTGCTCCCTTCCCATTAGCTTCTTCATCTTTCTGGTCACAAGTAAGTTGTATTTGTGTGCTGAAGTTGTCTTCTTATTGCAGCCGTTTGATGATCCATTTGGTGATGGACCATTTAAAGCTGTCCCTTCAACCGACAGTCTTGCCGTGCAACCCCCGAGTACTGCTTCTGCATCTTCCTTAAATCCTACCACAAACAAAAGTTTTGAACCACCCCAAGCTGTTGCCCAGGATTTTGGGAACACATTTCTTGCCATCACTTACATGCCCTCCGATGCGTCCAATGTTGAACTTCCTTCGACAAACCCACAATATGTGCACCAGGATTTGTCGACGACTCATCAAAATACTGATATTTTAGCAGATATTCTTCCACCATCGGGACCTTCACCTAACATGGCTGCACAGAATGCTTTTCCTGTTCCAACCAGCCAATATGCATCACATACAGGTTTCCCAGCTCAAACTGGCCAGCCTGCATCACAGACAGGTTTTCCTGCTCAACCTGGCCAGCCGGCACCCCTTACAGGGTTTCAACCTCAATCTGTCCAACATGCATCCCAGACAAGTTTTGCACTTCAAGCGGGACAGCCTGTATCACAGACTGGTTTTCTGGCTCAAAATGGCCAACCTCCTGCCTTGACAGGATATCCAGGTCAAGCAGGTCAACCTGCATCACAGACAGGTTTTCCAGTCCAAAGCGGTCAACCTACACCTCTTGTAAGTTTTCCATCTCAAATGGGCCCTGTGTTGAATACAGGTTTCCCTGCTCCCAGTGGCCAATCTGCACAGCCAAATGCTAATTTCTATGGAGGTTTCCACCCACAGTCTGGGTCTACAGCTCCGGTGTCCCACATGGCCCAATTTCCTACTGGACCAAACACTGCGAACTTCCTTTCACAATCAGGTTCTGTAGCCCTAGGAGCTTCACCAATTGGTTTTCAAACTCCCCAAGTGCGACCCAGCACTCCCATGGCCTCGCAGCAAGCTCTCCCTGCTTCAACTGGATCTCTTGCTATGGTTCCTCAACCAGCAAAAGACAAGTTTGAGACCAAATCCACTGTTTGGGCTGATACCCTTAGCCGAGGACTAGTTAATCTGAACATATCCGGAGGTGAGTAATTAGCTGTTCTTAGAGTTTCATGTCTAATGAGGATCTCTTTCTATATTGAATTTCCTTTTACGAGACATTTGACACTTGTCCTCTGTGTGCAGCTAAAACAAATCCACTGGCTGATATTGGAATTGATTTTGATGCCATAAATCGCAAGGAAAAGAGGATGGAGAAACCTACTACAGCTCCTGTGACATCGAATGTTTACATGGGCAAAGCTATGGGTTCTGGTTCTGGGATTGGCCGTGCTGGCGCTGGTGCTCTTAGGGCTCCACCAAATCCCATGATGGGTTCTGGTATGGGTATAGGCCTGGGTGGTGGTCCTGTTGCAGGCATTGGCATGGGAGGTTATGGAGCAGTAAATCAGCCCATGGGTGTGGGGATGAGAACGAATATGGTTGGGGGGCAAGGAGTACCTATGCAGCCACCAACAGGATTTCCTCCTGGATCTACCATGCCTGGAGGTTATAATCCCATGATGGGCCCTGGTGGTTATGGTCAGCAACCTTATGGTGGTGGCTATCGATGAGATTGAATCACCTCTATGCACAGAAATTTGAGAAAAGTATTGAGTGCCTGTTTTTGTTATTATTGTGAAAGGTTGGCCCGTGGATCCGCTCGGTACCCTTTCATTGTGTAAGGTCCTAATTTTGGTCATCACTGGTGATTTTCTGAATCAAGACTCGTAGCATGTATGTTTGTTCATTCTCTCAAGTTTTCGTCACAGTTGATTACCTTATAATTTCCTTTGGATCGATAACAAGAGAGTGAGTTCTGTAGGTGCTCTATTGTTCTCGAAGCTGTTGTGAAGTTGTATACCATTGAGTACCACCTTTCTTAGGTTGCCTTTTTCTTTTTTCTTTTTTTGTGTTTTTATCCCATATGTAATGTATTTTTTTGTATGCTCTAAGTACTTGTTGAACAATAAATCCTATAATTCATTTTTCTCAGTATTTCCCTGTCTTGGTCATGGTCTCAATCAGCAATTTTGGATGTTCAGTTGGTCAAGGTTGCTTTATTTTTATTTTTTCCTAATCTGGTGGAGTTCTTGGAGACATGTTAATGTGTTGGCTTCTTGCACTTCCACACAAAATGAAGAGAACTGTGAGTTAAGTTTTAATGATTCGTTTAATACCGTAGATGAAAAATTAGAGATATAGAAAAAATATTATGTTTTGTAAGGAAAGAAAATAGGAATAATGAAAAAATAGATAGATGAGTTTTTCTTTTAACTCATCAAAATTATTTTCTCCAAAAGTGGATGAAAAATTGTGTTGAAATATGTTATTTGTCTATATATATTTTGATATATACATATATCATATTTATCAATTACATATTATGTATACATTAATTTTATATATAGATATAATGGTAAAATATATATTTATATTTTTTAAAAAAATATAAAAATTTTAAAAAATAAAAATAAAAAAAATATTTTTTTTTCATTTTACCAAACACAAAAAAATCGATCTTCTTACTTTATATCCCTCTTACCAAAATTTTGGATTACATGTAAATTTCAATTTTATCCTACTCTACCCGATTTATATTGATCGGCTATCCGAAAGAATCGGGTAGACAAACGGAATATTTTTTAGTATTTTGTAAAAAATCGAGTAGGAATACGAAAATACCTACAAAATTTTCATATATGATGTATTGATGTTTATGGCTTTCTTGTTGTGTTTTATTGTAATTGTTTATGTATTATTGAATTTATTGTGTTTTCTTTAGTGTTATTGTGAATTTATTGGTTTATTATGTTAATTAATTAGTGCATGTTACTTAATAAAATTGTTAAAATGATCCAAAAATTAATAATTAAAAAAAATGTATTCACCCAATTTTCTATCCAACTCCCTACCCAATTGTTTTGAACAAAATTCGGGTAAAAATAGTATACTTGATCGGATAGAGTAGGTCAAGAAAAAAAAAATTACAAAGTATCAAGTAGGAAGATAGAATACTATAATTCCTACCCGTAGGACTAGAGAGAAAAAAAGGATTTCTCCATTGAATAATAGAAAATGTATTACTTTTATTTTTTATCTTTCTATTTTTTTATGTATCCTACTAAATGGACTATATTGATGATGAGAAATTTGAGGATTGCCCCTAGATGTGGAAATGGTACCGAGTTCAGTACTATATAGAGATATATAACCAATAAACACAAGAAGATCAGTTACAACTTCATGGTATGATGTGACTAACTACTTAAAAGAAGTTGGGATCCGATCTTAAAATATTAGGATTAACCTTGTTGGATTGAGTTATAATATTCCTAATTTTATAGTAACTTTTAAAACGGTCCAAAAAAATAAACTATTCAAACACTATAATCCTACCCTATATAGTAGGTGCAATCTGATATTGTTTAATGTTGTACATTAAAAGTGTCAAAATATGATACAATTTGTTAATACGATATAAATATAATATAAAATTAACGAGTTTGAGTTTTCTTTAAGTCACTTGTTTTGTAAACGAGTGGATCTGTCATAATTAATAAAAGAATTTGGTATTGGTGAAATCAATCAAAAAAAATACACGACACGACTTGTTTATATACTGATTATACACGATCGATATACAATACAAACTTTATATAACACGACTCGTAAGACATAAATTAATAAATGAATCAGATATAAATGAAATATTTTTTTAACACGAATTTGTTAAGATCTAAGACGAACCCGTTTTACCCGACACAATAGACAGACCTACTGTGCACTGTTACAATGCTGTCCAGCTCCGCTCTTTCTGGTGCACCAAATTTGAATGAGCAGAAGGGAAGGTTAATAGGTAAACTTAAACGATAATTTTTTATTTTTTATTTTTAATAGTAGATCATCACTTTTGAGTAAAAACTTTATTATATGCATTAGGTCCTACTTGAACTCACGGAGTGTTCCACCAAGAGAAAAAATAAAAAAATATATTGAAAAAGATGTCAATTTCAAAAGCAAGAGTCATATGCAGTGGCAGGTTTGATAATTAAATCTACAGAGTACTGTTGAGTGGTAAGTGGTCTGGGTCGTCCATTCCTCAAAATTTGTACCAAATCAGTTGCAACTATTGGATCAATGATAAAACCTAGTGATGCAACTGCAAGTGATTTTGTGCAAATTTTAGTGTACATTTTTTATGCATATAGCATTACTCGTCCGAAATACTCCTTTCATTCCTAAATATCTATCATTTAAAATTTTTGCACAGAAATTAAGGAAACTATTAAATAGCTCTAATATGAGTAAAAAATAATTGCACAAGACTAAAATATCCTTATTTAATACGTATTGGGAAGAAAAAGAATATAAGAGACACTTAGCCTCTACCTAATCTAATGCATTGAAAAATTAAGGATAAATTTGGAAGAAAAAATATTAATTATGTTTTGATTTCATTAAACGATAGATATTATGGAACAAAAAAAATTGTGTAAAACGACAGATATTTAAGAACGGAAGAAGTACATGTTAACAAAAAAATAAATAAATTAGAATATCCCATAAAGTTTCAATTAAATAAATGAATTTTTCATTAATTTTTGGATAAGCATAAAAATCGCTAAAATAATTATTGTTGTGACATTTTAGTGAAATCCACCAGTAATCAATGAACAAATCTATGGTACTTTTTCAGAAAATTTCTCTTTTCATGAACTAACCTAAAGCATTGAACGGAAGCAATTCAATAAAAATTAATCTCTTTAGATCATCTCCGATCTTAACTCAAACTTTTACATAATTTTGAGCAAAAATTCTTAATTTAATACAAAATATTCCAACAAATAAACTCAAATTTAAAGGAAGAAAATTCAAATTTAAAGAAGGACAAAATATAACCGTTGAACATTTAAAAGAAAATAAAATCTGACAATTAATAATTGAAGTAAATGTTTGAATCCTCACTGATTTAAGTAAAAGTTTAAATCTTCTTTAATTTGGTATGAAATTAAATATAAGATTCAAGAAAATTTTTGAACTATTTTTGCAAGAAAATAAGCAAACATAAAAACAAAAGTTCCAACTCATTTAATTTGGAAAAAACAATGCCACGTGATGTCACCATCTGATTAAAAGACTAGAAATAGATAAAATAAACCCCACTATTTTCATAACTATCAATAACCGCTACATCCAATTAACAACACATGATTAGTGAAATTCACTTTACCTATTTATTATCTTTTAATTGAATGGTGACACCAAGTGACGGTGATAATTTGATGTCACCATTGCAATGAATATTTTCTCCTACTGGAGTTCACTTGCAAGAAAAAAAGTTCAACACAACTTTCCTAACAGGCTCATCATCAAATATGGAATCATTCTTTGCTAAATATGTTGACCTTAAGAATACATTTCTTTACAACAGTATACAATCCTCTGGGATCAGCCATAATTGGTTATTTACAGCCAGAAGAAAACGAAAATAGAAAACGAAAAAAAGTTCAAAAAAATAAATAAATAAATAACAGTGACAAGGCTATCAAAGGGGGAAAACACATACATAGATCGAATAACAAACACAAGCACTCAAAACAATCAAAAATTGAACATCAAAATTTGAGATGGTCTTCGAACGAGAACCAATATTGAGCATGTTTAACCTCGTCGTCATCAGAGAGTCATCAGCGTGGCAGCAGAAGACGAAATCAAATAGGACTTCATGCAGCGGATTCTGAACTAGCTCGCAATTTGTTTTGCACCTCATCAAGATAAGCCTGGAGGTCCCTAAATTCTTCTGTTTTGGAGAAATTCCCAGCCTGAAATTTGCAGAAATGAATCTCAGATGTCATCCCACCCCCGCGAAAAGGGGAAAAAAAGTGGATATTTACAGTGAAGGTCTGGTGCAGCTAAGGATTGCATAAAAGTGGTGACATGCAAGTCCTGCAAATAAACTGTTTAAAATGAAAAGATTTTCTACATGTAAAATCAAGTCACTTGCCTGTTTAATTGTGCTCTTTAGATGCATCTCAGCTGCAATCAGTTCTCGATGTGTACCACTACGGGAAGCAAGTTCCATATACACACTACAGAGTTCCAATGAAGCATGTACAAACTTCTTAAAACGATCTTGATCTTTCCACAAATCAGATCCCTGACAGAGACAGATTAACAATAGATGTGTGATGATGACAACAGAACCTTGGAATGTATACTTTACAAGGATAAAAAGGTTGAAGCTGAAAGAAACAATATAATAGCAGGCTCAAAAATTCATCAAGAAGTTGTATTTTGAAGAAACTTTAACAAAGGAAGTACCTGCAGAAATCACATACACTAAGCCAAAGAAGACAGAAAACTTGCGAGATTGCATTCAATAATCTGTGTCTGAAGGTTTACACTTCGTGTAATGAGCAGCGATTTTGACTTATTACCCATTCAGTGAATACCACTACAACAGGCTAACCAATTGATGCAAATAATTCAGGCAACTACAAGTTCTAAGCAAGGCATATTGAGTTCTGTCATCATTTTTGCTACACCATAGTAAGGAACAAATCTATCTCACTGGTTGCATCAAGGTCATAACCACAATCAAAAAAGTAAAATCTGTAATTAAATTGTGGAAGATCATCAAAAATAGCCTTTGATTGCAGAGCAATCATATAAAACTACTAGGGTATTCATGTGGGATAAATCCCTCATGGCCTGACCCTAAAAATCATTAAGGTTCGAACTCCGAACGTCTGAGTTTACAGCTCATTCCTGTTACCACTTAAGCTACCCTTGAAGTTAACATTATTAACATAACACACATGTACAATAACTAACTTCTTCAAAAGTTAGGATACGTCAAAAGTTATGCTTGGTTCTCAGAAGTTAAGATAGAAGCTTTCAAAACGTATTTCTCAAATTTGATTCTTTGGCATCCCCATTGGACTTGTTAGGAGGCCTTAGAATGAGCACATGTGCTGGCTTGAAAGGGTCCCATCATACTTAATTTTAAAATTTAAGCGGAATGTTTGACCCACTCGCGGCTGCTCAAGGAGACTTGTAAAACTATATATATTCTTGGAATATGTTATGACATCGAAGGTGATAGTGATACCTGGTATGATCTAACTTGCTTTAGAAGGGCCTCAGAGCACATTGTAAGATCCCCCTTGAGTTTGTGCCACCTTGCGTATAATCCCCATATCTCTGCTCCCCCAGCACTTCGAACAATCTGAACCAAAGACAAACAATTCTTACCACTGGCATTGAGAACATACCCATCTCATATCTAGGTGACCACACTATGTACCAACCACCAATCCTTCAGGCAATGCCCAAATGCAAAAATCAGTTCAGTCTGAGAATCATAACCATTGATAGGGAATTTTTTTCTCATTTGCTAGCACTAGTACAACCAGAACTACAAGAATCCCATATAAGAGTTCAATTTGGTTTGTGTAGGGGATGATCAAGGAGATGAAAGTCACAACTGAAAACTTTGTATCAGATGTAAGTACCAAATGTCAACGCCATACAACACAAGGCAACCTTTTCACCAAAGCTGAAAGTGTGAATACATCACTCTTTTGACATATATTTTAGATCTCATGTGTAAATAGATTACACAGAAATACCCACTTATGCACCCCTACATTGTGTGTGTGTGGTTTTTGGTCTTTTTTTTTTTTTTTTGGGGGGGGGGGGTGGGGAGATGGAGGGAATAACTTGCTAAAAATGGTAGAATAACAAAAATAAAACCTAGAGATAGGGGCGAGCAGCAACCAGCCCCTTGTATAGGGTTCCAAAAAGGTAAAAGAAAAGATCATTCTAGAGGCAAGTACCCGCTGCAAGATTTTTCCAAGCAGCTCCATCAAGTGCTCAGTTTCCCGTGTCCTTGCCAAGTCTATTTCTGAACGTGTCACCTCCTTCACATAATGAATATCAGAATCAGCAAGACTGTGATTGCTAAAATCATCATTATTAGTGGCTACTGGAGACGGAGAATGGCTAGCTGAAACTCGTGCTTCAATCTCTAGCATTATCCTTTCTAATAACTCAGCATCAATTCTTTTATTTTTGCTCAATTCTAACACCATTTGAACAGCTTCCATTGCCTGCGAAGAGAAACCAACACAATATTGTCAAGTTGAATAGTACATCAACATCCACAGATTATGTCCCATGTGAAATAATGTCCCACATTCGGATAACAAGAGATAACTCAAATGATACATATAAAACCTGCTAGGCATATAGTTCGAGTTCAGGGGGTCCTTAATAATGTTTCTGCTCTTATCTGGAATGTTAAAACTGCTCCAAGTGCTCAGTTTGTTGGTTGGAAGATTTGGAGGAGGGCTTTGCCCTTGGACTCGAATTTTATGAGAATTGGAGTTTCCCTTGTGAGTAGGTGTTGTTTATGTTATCAAAATGTGGAAACATGGGAACATCTCTTTGTGGACTGTGCTTATGCCTAGTCTCTTTGGCTCAAATTTTCTGCTGTATGTGGTTTCCAGGTTATCCAGCGTGAAAGTATTTTGGTGAGATTTAGCAGGTTGTGCAGTATTTTTAAAAGTAATTCTGCGAGTCATGGCCTGGTTAGGAGTCTTGCGTTGGTACTATGTTGGCAATTGTGGAAGGAAAGGTGCAGAAGGCTGGCTGGTGAGTGGAAGTTATGTTCCTATTCGATTTTTGTGAAGATAGGCAGCATTCTACGTTATCAGGCTAGGAATATCAAACCTAAGGTACAAGATGATGCTACTCGGAAAGCTTTATTGGGCTTCTTGCAAATTGAGTATTCTTGCAGGGTGGAGTGCAAATGTGTTTGGGTTAAATGGGTGTCTCCTCTAGCTGGTATGCTAAAGCTTAATACTGATGGGGCATCTAAAAATAATCCAGGGGTTGCAGGTGGGGGAGCAGTTGTAAGGAATGAGTGGGGGTAATTGGTACTAGCTGCTTCATTCTTCTATGGGGAGTGCTCGAATATGATTGTTGAATTCAGGGCTTTGCGTGATGGTCTACATTTAATGATTCAGTATGGGTTATCGTGTTACAGTGTGGAAATTGAGTGTGATTCCTTGATTTTGGTTTAACTCTGTTCTGGGGAGGTGTGACTGTCCTTGGTTTTGTTTGATGTACTTAAGACAGATTAAGGTATTCTTAAGTCAGTTGAAATTTCGTTTGGTGCATGTCTTCAGAGAAGCAAATTCTGTGGCGGATAGGCTTGCCGCTCAAGCTGTGTTATGTAGGAGATCTGTTGATTTTTCTGTTGACTTGAAGCTGCCTTATGAAGTTGTAAGTGCCATGGTTCGTGGTTAGATGGGGCTCCAGATTCTTCGTAAAAAGAGGGTTGTGGTTTTCGATGACAAGGGGTGATATTAAAGGGTATGTTGGCTGTTTGGCTGCTGTTATAATGTTAATTTGTTTGAAATTAGATAAGTCCAAGCTGTTGGTTTTCCTGGAATGGTGAAGTCCCTGCTGGTATTGGTTGCTGGGATTGCTGAAGTATGATGGGTTTGGCTGCTTTTAGAGTGTTGTTTGAAGAAGTTCTGTTGGTTTTTTATGTTTTTGGGTTATTGTATTTGGTTTTGTTATGATAAGGTGTATGACCTTATCTTTGCTTCTTGTAAATGTTGCTTTGTTAATAAATAAAATTTTCTTTTGCTAAAAAAAAAATTATACATATAAAAATAGGAAATAAATCATAAGCAAAAATCAACCATATATTGAATAAAGTTATAGATCTCAAACACACAAAACAACAAAAGAATGACTCTAAGGTGTCAAATTTCTTCAGAAGAATAATTGAAGGTAGATAGCATGAAGAAAAATAACAATGATACCCACATTTGAATAAGGGGTAAAGAGCTTGGTGTGTTCAATTTTAGGAGGAAGTATACAGGGGTGTCCATAGGCCAGGCCGGATTAGGCCCCCGAAAATTTTTTCAGGCCAAGTCTGGGAAGTGTACGCCCACACCCTTACTCAAGTAAATTATCGGGCGGGCCGGGCCTGGCTTCGAGTAGGAATAGGCTACCCACAACCCAACTCGTAAACCTATTGGGTGGGCCTATGGACGAACCTCATGGGCTTTTTTATATACAATTTCATTTAAAAATAATGAATACTTTTGTAACTTAATATTTGTATAAATTATATTTTTGAATCAAAAGTAGAGTCAAAATGGATAAAAATAAAATAATAATTAATTTTATTTTTGATTAGGAGATGAACTACATCTAATAGAATGAATATATCCTAACTAAAATGACACTACTTACTTATCTATCATTTGCATTACTCTACCTTTTAAAACTTAAATGTTTAATACATGAACAAAAAATTATACATTATTTATAATATCTAAATTTTTAAAACTTCAATTTTTGACATTGAGAGACTTATTTCAAAATTTTAAATTTAATGGTTTAAAAGTATAACTTTTTTTCAAAAAAGGGGTGGGCAGGCTTTTGGGCCGGGTTTTAACGGATTTTTTGGGCGCTATTAGGCCGGGCTTTAGGCCGAGTAATAGATTTAGGGGCAAACTCAAGCCCTTTTTTAAGGATATTAGGTTCGGACTCGAACGGGCCAACTATTTGGCCTATTGGATTTTGAGTCTATTTCTTTCAGCCGAGTAACGGGGCCGTAGATAACTCGGCCCATGGACACCCTATACCCGAAATAACAATAGAGCAAATTCGGCTAAAGGAGATGAATAGCAATGTGAATTGTCACTCCCACAAAGAACTAGGAACAAACACAGACAAAATGAATGAACAAACAGTCCCCATGATATGTTGATACTTTCGCTCATCTAAATTATTCTACTCAGAGTGTCCGAAGGACTGTTGAGTAATTACATCAGATTTCAATAAGTCAAGAAGATCATAATGTATCTATTCTCCACCCAAATTACACCAAAAACATTTAATTACTAAATAGTAAATTCTATGTAAATCATAGCACAAAAACTAACGCTAACATCAAAAAAGTTAAATCGTTGTTTCATACGTAATACGAGAAACCCCTTTAGTGGCAATGGTGATAAGACCCCACACATCTCAATTAGATAGATCAAATGTCCAAACAGTATGCACAATATTAGAAGGAGCCAAAAAGAAGTGGAAATGTTATTAAAATATGTCTTTAATTTGACAAATTCACATCCACTGCAATCACCACTATCTTTATTGAAATTTCCTAAAGAACTAGGATATTTTGCGATTTCTAAAATATTCACAGAATTATGATGAATTGTTGTGAGGATTATTAAATTTTGCAATGAATTTTTTGTGGTGTTGATGGGAGTTTTAGAAGTGGGGGCATTGAGACTGGTGGTGGCTAGTGTGGTTGGTTTGGTAGATTAGTTTAGAAGATGACGGTAATATAGTCTTTTTGCATTCACCGTTAACGGAATCGTCTGTTCAAATAAGTCCAAAAGCATAAGGGGGTGAAGTGCCTATTTTTAAATGACAAGGGCGTAAAAAGGAATTTGCCCATAAAAATATGATGTTAGCACTTTAAAGCTAAAGCATCTTAAATAAATATAAAAAAGCACCATAAAAAGTCAAAAAGTACCATTGGTGGGACCTACAAGAGAGATGGTTTCCCACTTGTCCAAAACTTTTTCACCTAATAATCGAGAATGACGTGTGTGAGCCATTTCCATTGGAAAAAGCGGATCGTTTGGATTGTTACAACCTCTAGCAGAGGGTTTGAAATTGATTCTAAAATAACCTACTTCACTTTCTCCTTTTTTAGAGTGACTCTAGTGGCTACATATATGTTAAGTCTTGTCGCTCGGGCCGTTGTAACTTTTGATTATGGTATGGTATTGTCAGATCCAAACATAGCACTACTTTATTTGTTTGCCACACTAGTTTAAAGTCAAATTCCATATCCCCAAAGACAATTATGAACCCAAAAGAGCAGGAACAGGTTCGGGCCTATCTAGCTCAGCTTGTTATGGCAAGACAAGACAAGCAAAATCAAGTGAGAGCCGAGCCTAACGGTAGCGGGCGTAGAAAACCCTTCTAATTGTATTGAGTTCAAAACAAAACGTGAATAGAGTACGTTCGACAGCCCAACCGCCTATTATCTCAGAAAGTATAATCGCGGGTCAACGGGCGGCAATGGTAAGTATGGAAGCTAACTGCTGGGAGAATGGTTAGTGTAACAATAACTAAGGAAGGCAGTCCACGTGGCATAAAAGATAGGTAATCTAATGAATACTCGGATGCTATGAAATTTTGATAAGACCAAAGAACGAAACATTTTGCATGTTTCAATCGAAAGGAAACAAAAATTTCTACCATGCCTCCAAATAATGACAGGTATGAAAGTGGATGAGTAAGTGGTGACCAGATTCAAGAGATCAATCATGGGCTATAAATATTTGGTCAAGTGCATTTGTAGTTCTTCCAATGATCTGCCACCTGCCTATTGCCTAGTCCATATTAAATTCCTGACAAGATTTTCCTTTCTTATGTCTTAGATGCTTCATATAAAGTACGCATAGAAAGCCAAGACCGCAGACAACACTTGCTTCACATTAAAACAGCATTATGATCCACGAATTTAAGAAAGTTTTCAACTATCTGCATACCAAAGAATACCTGGTTTATATTGCCAACATCTGCAGCAACATGACCATAGTTCTCCCATAGTTGCCAGCTGTTTCGCCTGCAACAAGCCACAGAACCATTTCAGGTGTTGTAGAACACCTGCAAACAAAGTTTTGTTTTTGTACATATATACACAGATAAACTAGTAGAGAGAGGGAGACAGAGAACCAACTTAAACTTCAGAGCTTCTTTAAATGCAATGAAAGCCTCTTTGCTTTTCCTCTTGATCATATGCCTGGAAAGTTAAATAAGTAAGTAATGATCTCCTAATATGATGAAAGAATACAAGTCAAATTCAGCACCACAGAAATAATTCTAAGAAAACATCTGGTGAGCTTCAGTTTAATTGCAATCAGCATAGTTCTTCTGGTATCATGATGCTAAGAAGAGTGATATATGCCATAGTGCTGGTTTTCCTTGATAGTTGCAAGTTCCATTCGGAGTACTAAATTATCAGAAAACTATAGTAGCATTTTCCTCAACAGCAACATCAACCAATAATATGTGATACAGCCACTCTTTGTCACTCTTCTCCCACCCCCCAAAGTTATAATATAATTTAAATCTTTTTACATCTTTAGTGACCAATTGTGGTGAGTTATCATGAAGGCCCCCTACATCAACGCTGTGTTCATGAACATTTTACCAAGGCAATTCATCGGTAGCATTATCGTTGAACAGCAAAGATTCGTCATTCGTCATATATATATATATATATATATATATATATATATATATATATATATATATATATATATTTTCAGTAATACTATCGAAATGGCAGTAAAGACAATGCTGAATGCAACTCATGAGATTCCGACATTGTCATGAGTGAAGTGCAATGACGAACTTAAAAAGGCAAGCTTGATGTCACAAAAGTTTTAAGTTTTCAAGAAGCCAAAATAAACCCACAATAAAAAAAGTAAAGAAAAAAAAACTAATGTTACTAGGGGCAACTGGTGACCTTGGTAGTAGTAGTAGTAGTCAGCCTTTTGAATGCCTCCTCCCATACTTTTATGAGTAGCCTTCTAAGTCGGAGTTGTTCACCTTCGGGAACTTTGATATTTAAGTCCTACTCAAAAAGTAAAGGCGAGCGGGGTTCCTAGGCTGGGACATCTGGTAGAATGAATGACCCCTGCACTATAAGCGACACCCAAGGGGTAAGCTTCTAGCACTAGAGGAAGGAGGCAAGCAAGTGAAGGGAGGCATTACGGACCAACTACAATAAGCAAAGTTTCATAGACTAGACAAGTAGTAGTAGTAGAATCTTGAGAGGAGATTGGCTTGGATTAATAACAAAATTGATCAGTGCTTGCAGGTTAACCTCCTAAGTCCTACTGACTCTTGTGAGTTTTGCCATGATGAGGCGAAACAAGACGCTGCAGATGATTCCATGAGTTTCTCAAAACTAAATTTGTAATCTAAGTTGTATTATCGCTCTTTTCGATATAAGTTTCTTTTGTTGTTTTAAGTTTGACTGAATTTGGAGCAGTCATTCTAACTTCGAAGGTCAGTGCTAATCCTAGAATCGACACCCTAAGGCTTCAAACACCAATCCCTTCAAGTCTTGAAACCTTCCAAAGCTTTAGATCCGCCTTGCTCTTGCTTAGTAGATCTTCATTGTGCTTGTCCCCAAGTCTCCAAGGCTCGCAATCGCTCCTGTAGTGATGCTTGCTACTAATCCTCATGTTCGAGCTGCGATACAAGCCCTGAAATTGACAATCCAGACATCCTAGATCTAACATAGTAGTTATTATAATAACCAAAACACCCATATTCTGAAATTCTTAGCTAAGCTCGAAATATTATAGACAAAGATTGGATGAATTGGTTATAAATAGAGAAAAAAGTAGCAGCATATAGAAATAGATTATTTCAAGAAAGAGTGGAGACCCAATTGAAGCCGCCTCTCTGCCGCTTGTCAAAATGGGGCAAAACTGCATTAGCAGATTGAGCTTTAGCTTGAGCGAGAACAACGGCAGGCCCAGAGTCAGATTCAGACAAATAGACAGAATGGCAAGCAGGGCTAGTCACTTTGGATCCCATAAGTATGACAATCTCTCGTATGTTATGCTAGACTATGCAAGCGAGAAACTCTCTAAGGAAACCTCCATATTCCGCTGAGTAGGATTCGCCCTCCTTTTTTTTTTTTTGTTCACCGAGGCTAGGACAGTTATTTTATGAGGTTTAACCAGGAGAAGAGGAGTTGTTAGGAATAGCCATGCAGGGGAACCCCTATAAAATTAAAAATTTCTCAGACTGACAGGTAGATGATCTCAAATAAACCAAGGCCCCTCCAAAGACTTAATGAGATGTGTAATTCAATTCATCACCACTAATGCGAAGAAAAGAAAAATAGAAACACTATATTCTCTGGCCATAGACAGTCACTTTTACTACAACAAATTTCCAGATGATAAGATGAAGTGAAAAGAACATACAAACAAGCAATATTGTTCCATGCTCCCCATTTTCAGGATCAAGTTGAACAGCACGCGTGAACCCATCCAATGCCTTCTCAACATCCCTAGCCTGTGTTATTTCCACATTACGTTACAAAAACATAAAAGGAAAAATCCCTATAGAAGGAAATCAGTAATTTCTTCAACATTTAGAGTATAAGTATATGTGCACATTTATTGGTGCGAAACTGTGTATGGTTGAGAATTAACATAATGTAAATAACATAAGATACCTTCAAGGCAGCGGCACCAAGTCCAAACCATCCATCTGGGTACAATGAATTTAGTGCCATTGCAGACTCCCTAACAAGGTAAAATCATTGTAAACAGGAATTGATAGAGAAAAGCAATTGATATTGGCTGAGAATATGTCAGAAATTGGGAGAGGGAGTTGGAGAAAGAGATTGACAGATATGCAAAATGCAACCTACCATAGGATTTTGGATGTCTCATAGTCCCCCCTGTTGTATGCACTACGCGCAAGGGACCTCTGGCCGAAGAAAGTATTTTAAAACAATATCACAGGAGCTCAAAAAATAAAATGGAAAAACATAGGTAGGGCTGGTGAATAGACCTTTGCTCGAGCAGACCTATTCTCTGAAACTTCTAGGGCTTTCTCATAGCAGGCATCATTATTTGTAATATCACCTAGGGAACACCTGGAAAATAAAACAACTTCTCCAACATTTAAAATGCATATTGCAAACAGTTATTCATTGGCACTTTGTCACATGCTAACAAGATTAAGATTAAAAAAAAAGAAGAAGAAGAAGAAAAGAATCAAGTCAGTAAAGGGCATTCATCATGCATGTAAAGACCCCAAAAAGTGAAGGAACTTTGTGGAGCAGCAAATACTAAAACAATAATTTAGTGAAAGTGACAGCTTAACTCCTCTAGTTAATAAATGGTTACATTTGCAAAGAAGCATTGCTGCGGAGAAAGAAGAAGGTCCACAATTGATTTTACAAATCAAGAAGGGCCATAATTCTATAAACTTTGGGCGCTGACTAGTCCATTCTATTATCCGTTTATGGTTAACATGATGCCATGTTAAGTATTTAACTCAGGACAATTGGCAATGAGTGGAGAGTACAACACTCACATACTAATTTAGGAGGCCTTACACTACAAAAGTCAGACAAGTTCTACCACGTGTAGTATATGCTTCAAAGCTTGGCATTACTGGAGTAATGTTAGGAAGAAAACTTAAAATGAATGAAAAATGTTGGTTGACCCAAGCAGAGGGTAGACAAGATTATTTATGTCCAACCTCAGCAACCACAACTTTGTAGCATAAGCATAAACTAATATCTGGGAGAAAAATACTGTCTTGGTAAGATTTTATATTTTGCCATATCTCATTAACATTACTGTAAGCTTCCAACAATCCACTGAAACCAGCGCTTCTCGTATAGTCCAACTTCAGATTATACGTTTCCAGGGTTTAAATTTCGTTTTGAAACGGTTGAAACATATCCATTTTGAAACGGTTAAAACGTTTCCGTTTTCAAACTCATTGAAACTATGCACCAAAACAAAATTTTGATCCTTGGTTTCTAGGGAAAAATATTGGGGAATAAACAAAAACAAAAAAAAACTTAAAAAACACCAATTTGTCGACCGATGAAAAACAAAACTGAAATAATAACATGAGGGAGAGATTGGATGCGGTATTTAACAAATCAATAGATAGAAATAAACAAACAAGGTTGACCAAACCAGCAAATCAATACATAATGTGGTTTGCTGGTGATTATGCGCATCCAAGATTTTGCATTACAGCCATGAGTCCAAAAGGAGTGTGGTTGGAACGGTTCCTCATTCATCCTAGTGAATTGGCCCTCACTACACTAGACACTGCTTGCTTGTTTTTCCTAGTGAACTTGTATAGGCCATTTCAGCTGGATAAACATTGTCTCTAGTAGCTAGGCAACTCTGATGGAATGAAAACCATGTATGGAATCCGGGATACTCATCAAATGCTGATATGGAAATTAGAAATCATCATACCATTCAGTCAGTTGAAATTATACTTTGCTTGAAAATTCTGGTGGGCAAACAAACTCAATGTCAATGGCATGTCTAGTTCACAAAAGGTCAAATGAAGACTCAGCTATTCTCTAATTATCATAATCTTACTTGAAAGTGTTTTATGAGTAATTTTGGCTACAAAGAACTTCCTAAAAAACGTTTCCAAGATAACCATTCAACAGAAAAGATAAAAAAAAATTAAGTATAAGTACATAAAAATCACAGTATGCATGAAAACATCCTTGTTGGTACAAAGTAAGAAAAATAGACTTCTGAAAGAAATTTATAATCAGAAAAGGAAAAGCTAAAAGATAAACATCAAACCAGTGATCACATACCATAACCTTGGGTCACTGGGCCTTTGAGACAGTTGTGTCTTAATGAGATCCACAGCTGCCGCTTTCTTGTCCAACATCCTACAAGATCACACCATATTTGATATAGAAACCCAGATTGAAATTATAAAACCCATATGCATGACATAACCAAATAATTTATTTTATTGTTGTTATCATACCGGTAACAGTATATTAGATTATCCCACAGCTCAAGATCCTCAAAAACCTTAACTGCCTCCCCAACCAATCCACAACTAACCAAAAGATCACCATATTCCCTGAATGCGAGAAAAGAATTAAACAAAAATTAAATGCCCATATCAACTCTACAAAAAATAATATAGAAGAGTAGTAAATTAAACTACAGAAATTTAGCATAAGAAACTAAGCTGAAATGGTAAATGTCCAAAATTTTACAAACAGGGAGGAGTTCTATACTTGCGAAGTGCAGGAATAGTTGGAATATTGACTCCATAACAATAGTGGATCCGCTGTGCAACTCCAACAGAAGGTTCATGGACCCCCTGGACCTGAAATAACATGGAATAACATCTGTAATAAGAAACATCTTACATAATTGGTTATATACAGTGGAACTTTGAAGTATTATTATTTTCAGTTTGTTCATATCTACTCTTATATTGGAAGTTAGAGTCAGTTTGTGGCTCAACTTGGGTCTCTAAACTGCCCCTGTTAGTTTGTAGAGAGAGGAAGAGGGAACAAAAAGAATGAGAAAAAAATAACAGCTCGCCCTAAAATAAGGAGACCAGTCCTATAGAAATATCTATTTACGATAATATAACTACAAATACACACTTAGTAACTATTGTTGTAGTGTAATCGGGTGGTGCAAGATTGAAGAAGAAGAAACAATAGACATATGAATGATAGAAAAATCGTTAGGCAAGGCATGTTAGAAGCTATCTTCGAGATAGTAATTTTCCTACTATGATGCATATGGACTCAGTTCTATCCCGTGGTACAATGCCTAACATTTAAGACTATGTAACACTTCATTTCTTAGTAGCCCTGATTGAACATCAATGAAATGGCGTAATAATAGTATACAAATAGCATCATAGGACTAAAAAATAGAATAATAGGCCAAGCATAGAGACTGTATACTCACAGTGTTCTATGCACACGTCAGAGCAGTTGTGACTCCTGATTTAGATGACCAAAAGACTTGTTCAAGAAGGGTGATAACCCTTAGGTTAAGTGACTTTAGAGACAACTTGCCAATAGTTACTTTTAACCACCAGACAATAAATATATACATTACGAGTAAATATCACTACATATGTAGATATACAACATGCAGGTTACAAGCAGGTTACTACCTTAGTAAATATATCTCCCACCTAAGCATGTGACCACACAAAAAAGATCACAATTCACTTCCTCATCATCATACAAAATGACAATCAACTTCTACATGGTTGGTCCTCACATGGAATCAGTGTTTTCAAAAGCGCACCTAAGCGAGAAGCGAAACGAGCCTTAGTCACCTTGAACAGTTCAGGCAAAGCGAGGTTATGTGAAACGATAGAAAAGCGACCCAAGCGATTGTCGCTTAAGCGCAAGGCGAACACTTTAGTTAAGTGTTCCAAGTTGCTTTATTTGTTTATTATGGACTGTGGGATTGAGCAATTGGATTAAAATTGTGATATGCCCATTCACCCAATTGCCCCTTTTCCAAATATATATCTGACACCTAAACCCTAAATAGTGTAAACAACGATAGTAAACATATCTGAAGAGGAAGAGTTTGTGGAGTCTGGAGAATAGAGAATGGAGACAAGTTGCGATAGAACACAGTCTAGGTTTGCCCCTTCTCTCCTCTATTTCTCCTCTTCTTCTTCTTCTTCTTCTTCTTTTCTTCGTCTTCGTCTTCTATTACTTCTTTTAATTATTATTTTCTTCTTCTTCTTCTTTTAATTCTTCTTCAACAGAACACACAGTCCAGCTTGCTACTTTTGTCTTCTGGGAGAGAAGTCCCGACATATATGTTCTTCTTTTCTCTCCTTATTCTCTACTTCTTTTAATTCTTATTCTCTTCTCCTCTTCTTCTTCTACTTCTTTTAATTCTTCTTCTTATTCTTCTTCTTCTTCCTCTTTTTTTTCTTCTGATTCTACTTCTTATGGTTCTGCTTCTGTTTTTTTATGTCAAGATTCTGTGTTTTTGTCTTTATTTTTGCTGGAACTCTGATTTTCCTGAAACTCTAATTCTGAGATTCTGTGTTTCTATTTCCGATTTTGCTTCTGCTGAGATTCTATTTCTCTTACTAATTAATCACTTTCGAAAAAATACTTACTGATTTTGATTCTTCTTCTTTTGTTTTTCTGGTTGTATCTGCTGGTTCTGCTTCTATTTTTTTTTTTTTGGCTAGGATTCTAATGCTTCTGTATATATCACTAATCGGAAAAATGCTTACTGATTTAATAAATTCTGTAATTATTTATTTGTGTAGAAGATCATTGAATTTCATTACTTAACTGTTTTAAGTTGTTTGATTAATATGGTTCTAGATCTACCTATTTGATTGTAGTTTGAATTTAAATGTTTCTAATTTTGGTTGCATTTAAATATTTAGTATTTATAAAATTAGAACTTGAATATTTAAAAGTAATTAAACTAAAATATTTGCTTTTTTTTTTTCCTGTTCATTTCACTTCGATGAAGTGCTCGCTTCTTGCTTAAGCCTCCGAAGACTTGTTCACTTCAATTCGCTTAACGGTTTAAATAACACTGCATGGAACACAGAATTACTAGCAATACACATTGAGGCTTGATTATTATAAGTTGTGTCCATCATAACTCATGAACTCCACTTTTGCATCAGTTCTAACTATCACATTTTATTTCTTTCTACTCCACATAACAAGATTGCTACCCACAAAAGTACAAAATCCTAATAAGGACAGTTATTTCAGATGATCTCCGCGCCACAACTTGCATATGAAAAATCAACTATCTCAAAATTATCTAAGGTTCTAGAATTGGACTACCCCTACAAGAAACCCTCTTTCAATATGTCAAAAAACAACACAACTTCCTAACGTTGTTGTTTAGGTTTCTACACAAATTAGTTGCTAGGAAGCATGGTACGGACACAAAGATACGATAAAGTTTGAAAATATAGGACACAAGTATAACAAAGATACAGTTATTAAAATAAATATAATATATTTTTAAGATAATAATAAAATTATAATACATTAAAAATAAAGTTTATTTTGTAACAATATTAATAATAAGACCTAACAAATATTAATTTTTTGCTTTATTTTAAAATAGATCAAAATAAATATCCAGTAGTTTCATCAAACATCGTTACATCCATAATATATAAGTTACATACAAAAAATAAAAAAATACACTCCTCTTAATAATAAACTGCCTTTTTTTAAAAAAAAATCTGGTCATATCCTAACCATATCTTGGTCGTGTCCGGATTGTATCCGATTGAGTTCACTATCCACGATATTCACTAGTCATGACAAACACGAGTCCGACACTACCATGGCACCCCACCAGAAAGTATTAGTACTTCCTAGATTGGTTGCCAGCTCATATAGCAAAAGTTTGACCGTGTCATTATGAGATAAACCACAAGTCTTCTATATCTTCCTAAAGCACTAATGTCTTCTTCTTCATCTCTACTCAATGTATTTAAGTCCATTAGAGTGTCGGTGTGGCTCTCATCATTCCAATCTCATAAGACAATGAAATAAACACTTTCCTCAAGACAATGAGACCCCTTCATTAGATCTGTCTACTTCAAAATAATTTAGAATTTTCCCAAGCTTTTCGTATGAAAATTCTTACTCAACTGAAACTTCAAAAACTGTATACCCTTGGTATCACCAGCAATTATCAATATACAAACAACATAGACTGCAACTATAATGGTGCATTTCTCACTATGTCTTACAGACAAAAAACATAGTAATAAATGACGAGAAGGTGTTCAAACGAGATGGTGTAATTCGACAGGAAGGACGGGCGTTCAAAAAAGACATAGAATACTGCTTTGTCCTTCAAGTAACACAAAACAAAAAGGACGGAAGTTCAAATAAGACATATAATGCTGCTTTATCCTTCAAATAACACAAAACATCACAACCCTTCGAATAACAACCACTAGCTTCGACAAAAACACCTAACACCACTAAATACCTACGACACATTACACATCTCATGAAAAACCAAACTGCACTTATAAATATTTATATCAACAAAGAATATCACAAAATAAGTAGACCAACCCCCCTCGAAACCAAAAACATGAAGGAAAATTATTTGGCAACTTAATGCTTCAAAACCCTAAATATTGGGCAAACCAACCACCAATCCTGACAACACACATAACAAGGAGGTGAAATAGGGTTATCCATATGGTCTGTGCAGATCCGGACTTGCATGGTGGCGTTCTCCTTGATCCCCTCTTCACTTTTGTTAACAACCCACTTACCTTTGGATTCTTGTTAGGACATTATGTGAAAAACTAGAGAAAATACAAGAAAGGAGGAAGATTCAACAGGTTTTGGATCAATGCCCCAATACTGTCTATATGAAAAAATGCCCGACACCATTTTATGTTTGTAGAGAGAAAAGAAAGAGAAGAAAAAAAATGATAGAAGAACTACCGGCTCACCCTAGAATGGGGACCAGTCCTTTATATATATTAATCAAAAACAATGAGGAGGCAGCACAAGAACTCTCTAAACAAAAAAAAAGGACTTGAAATGAGACCCGTCATTCCCTCACACACCATCACCACTCACGTGCCTTTCTCCTCTCCCTTTTCATGCAACTGTATCACATGCATCGCGAGTGCTCTGTTTCTATATTACTTATTTGTCAATATCTTTTTTTGTCTTTACTTACGAGAGACAAGATTCACTGCTGTTGTAAAACAACCAATTGTTTGCTGAAGGACGGGCAGAGGAAGAAGCTGTCAATCTTTCAATATTTAAAACACACACACTCTTGGATCTGACATGCTAAATGTTTTTTACAATAAATCAATACCACGGAACTATTACCCTGTACTCCAGAAAACTTTTAGCAGCTAAATGCATCCTGTTTGGAATTCAAAAGGTCAAATATCCATCTGAAAGAAAAGTGGGAAGGGAGGAACTGCTTTAAACATAATAATTTTATAATTATTATTTCACAAGGATCCTGTATTTACCCAGTTGATATCTCTAATGTAACAGTAAACTATACCATTCAACTGACAAAAGAAACAATTGTGATGATATATCACATATGGGATGAAGATGTACTTATTAAGATACTTGAGTTGAAATTGTTGATGTTTCAATAACAAGATATGTTGCTCAAACATAAAATTTGGCCATGTCGCCCTAATCAAGAAATCAAGATAAGTTTTCTGTGGATTTTATTACAATCGAGAAACAAAAGAAAAACTATGTACATAAACTCTTAAAGTGTAGGGAAAAGAAAATCCTTTCCAACTTGCAGAATAACCCATAAACTGAAATATCCTGTCTTTGACACGATTAACATATGCAATGAATGCAGTAAAAGCATACATCCAATATAAAAAAAAGATGCTTGACACAATCCATTAGAAGTTAAATCAAGCTTCAAAAAGAAAGATCTTGAAATTGGGTTTCCTCCAAAGTGTGGCGCACTTGGGACCTCACATGTCAAGTATTAGACTTTCCGAGTTTCATTTTATGTTCCTTTTTCCTTCATGTTCAATAAGCCGGGCTCAGTTAAATGGATTGTTGGTTCTTTATGTTAGCAAGTTTATAGGTTTTACTTGTCCAAGTCAATAATTTTTTCAACAGGGAGCCCACGTGATATTAGTTTTTGGAGTAAATGTTCTTTTTTTTAGTTGAAATAACCACTTAGATTGGCAAGATATTGCAAATCTATGTACACAGGGCACTATATATAGACAAAAAAACAAGAGGCCAAAATTAGAATAAAGTAAGACAAAAGAGAACAAAATAGAGCTATGTAGTACATAAATTAATCACCTTTGAGAATTTTTACAAGCTTCTTCAAGCCATTCTGAAACTATGCAATGCAACTCAAACCCTACTTGTGATGCCCAACAAGATAATACCTATAACATGATCTTGTGAACACTTGAGTTTGAACATTTATACACAGTGACATAACAAAAATGATAGTTTATTCCCAATGATATGCCAATCAACTTCAATGTGCAGGTTTTTGAAGGAAAAGTCTAGGTACAAAATGACATTTTCTGAGAGATAAACCACAAATTTTACACTTCAACATTAAACCTTCAATTTTTCAGGACTAAGATCAATTACCAGATCTGATGAGATAAACAAAACTCAGCTTAAACACAATATGTATAAAGGAATAAACATCAAATCTAGACATGCATGTTATGAAAATTGTATGTCTACTCTATAACACAGCTGAGAATGTAATACAGATGCAATTCTTACCAGTTTATCCATCATAACCAAAGCACGCTGCTTTGTGCGATTACGAGTTGACTCCCATCGAATACGTAGTATGTCACAAAAACACTGGATCTAAAAGAAGAAAAATGTTAAACCATATCACAAGCAAAAGAAATCTTAGCACTGGAGGATCAACTGCAATGTAAAGCACATACTCTCCACCCAATTGAACAAGAAAGGGAAGAAAACAACAAAAAAGAGGTCCCACCTTAAGTAGACAGCATAAACAAATCTTAGCAAACTAATCACGGATGTCTTTTCTTCTCTACTCCTTTTACATTCTGCTAAATTGCAGATGTTATTCTTCTGGATCAAAAAAACATACATGTATATATTTTTGTTGACACATGTCCCCACCCAACCATGACCTTGTTCCTCTCTTATTTTTTTATTGATTAGCAACAACAGATTTTTATTGATAAAAACAAAGCATCTCCAGAGGAATGAGCAACTAAGTCAATTAAAGAGACACAGAATAAATAAAATTGCAAACTACATTCCAGAATTCAGAAGCAATTTTTTTCCCACAAACCAATCCGAGGCATGCAACCTAGGAAATTGCAAACATCACACACCTCAAAAGTCAAAAGGTACGAGCTTTCTTATTTTTCTTAAAACCCAAATATCGACCAGACTTTGCACCACTAAGTTTGACAGACTTCTTGTTCTACTGTCAACATCTAATAAACCTCCAAAGCACTTGACAATTTTCATCAAAACCTCCCTCAAGCATAAATCAAATGGTAAGCCTTCAATTCCAATCCATTCCTCCCAAACACTATATCTTATTTTAATTAAAAGAGAATATATTTAAATTAAAGAAGAGAAGACAAAACATACAAGATTCAGAACAAGATATTCTCAAAGAAAGGGAAAAGAGAAAGTAAATTTCAAATAAGAATAAACTAAAAACTAAAGTGGAATGGAGAATTGCCTTCCAATTCCTTTGAGAATCCGACAAAGGGACCCCTCTAATTCCCGGTGGCTTTGGTCCATAAAGAAGCAAGTCCCCACATCATTCCCATATCGATTCTAAAAGAAGAGACAGAACATTGAAATTTCTTGCATTCTGCTCTTACCAAAGAAACCAAAGAATTGCCATTCAACGAACATTCCAAAGAATCGTAGCTTCTTTAGTCTTCTTAAAACCCTGAAGTTGTTTTGTAGCAACTTCTATGCTATAAATGACAAACCCAAGCCTCACTAGTCACAATGAACAAGCTATTACACAAACCCCCAAGCCAAAAAAATAGTGAATGAATAGATGGGCATTCCACTCTACACTTCTCCAACAAGTTAAGCACATGTTACAACTCAAAACTTTGGAAGGCCTTCTCACCAGTAAACATTAGTATTCACACTATTAAAGACAACAAACCAAACATAAGCCTTAACATTCGAGGAGACTTTTGCTTTCCAAACAAGTTTGTCCAAAGAAAATAACTGAACATTCTGGGAGCTTACAACATAAGAATAAAATGATCTGCAAGACAAATTAATAAGTTTTTCTATAGTCCAAACTCTGCAATCATGAGAAAGAAAAAGGTGGAAATTATGATGAATTTCAAGCAAATAAGTTTGTTGCTTCTCTACCTTGAGTCAAGGATCAAATTATCATTTCGAAACGATCGAAACATCCGAAACGTTTCCATTTGCAAGGAGACCAAAACGAATCATTGATGGAATCGAAATTCTAATATTTCAAAGTATTCCATAATGTTTTGAAATGTTATATTTCAATACATTTGCACAATTATTTCAGAATGTTAGATATTTTGGTATATTTTGACAAATATTTTGAAATATAATTCTTACATTTTTTTTTCATTCTGTTTTCGAAACGGATCGAAACATTTCTAAAACATGTCGAAACGTTTCCGTTTCTTAGGTGATCGAAACAATGTATCGAAACGAAATTTTGATCCTTGCCTTGAGGTGCCTAAAGAAATGGAAATACCAAGCACCACTACTATCTTCGCATTGTGACCAATTTGTTTTAGTCACGAATGTGCCAACAAAGGGAAAGCTTTGTGGAGAACCAAATACCTCTTTAGTTGGCAACGTGGCCAATCTCGTATCCCAGCCCTCCACAAATCACTTTTCGTGCTTGCCACCAATTTTGTCTACATATTATCTCAATCCACAACATTTCCAACAACTATCATCACTGCCACTGTTCAAGCAATATAAAAAGATTCTCCCCATGTCATCTGCAGACCACTTAATTGATTTCCTCAACTAGGTAAACCTAAACCCAATATCTACATGCTATGGGACTTAATGATATAAGGAGGTCTACCACTGATCTCAAAAGCCCCAACCAGTGTGAGGACGCAGATCAAACCCCTTATATAGATAAACCAAGGAGTGTGGTCCCGAAGGGCCTCAAAATCCAGTCACTCAACACCCTCCCACACCAAGGAGGGAGGTTCAAACAGGTGACCCCTGGATTTGATTCCATACAATATAGGAAGTCCTAGAATTGATCCCAAACATCGTAGCTAGTGAGAGGAAGCAGGCAATCCATGAGAAAAGGTGGCCAAGATCCAGTCACCTAATACCCTCCCACACCCAAAAGGGAGGCTCAAAACCGTGACCCCTGGCTTTAATACCAAATGATGCATAGAGGCCTCCCATTAATCTCAAAAGCCACAACTACTGGAGGAGGTAGGTTAATCCCCTTATATAGATAGACCAAAGAGTGATCACTCAATACCCTCCCACGCAAGAGGAGAGGCTCAAACCCGTGACCACCGGCTCTACCATTTGATGCACAAAGGCCTACCACTGATCAAAAGCCACAACTAGTGGGAGGAGGTTGGTCAATCCCTTTATACAGATGGATCAAATAGTGTGGTCCCAGAGAGCCCCAATACCCAATCCACTCTTTGGTCTGTTTGGTAGGACTTGTAAGAAATGGAGCCAAAGAAGAGTGTTGAACCTATGAACGAAGCAAATCTGAAGCGAATAAAGGTGCTCGTGAGGGTTGATCTCAACACTCCATTGGATGACAATTTCGACATCAATAATGAAATTAGATGGAAATTTCACATTATGTTAGAATAAAAAGTTGGAGGGGTTGAGACAAAATTTAGTTTAGCGGTTGAACTGAAATCAGTGGGCCATACAAGTAATTTACTGTTTTTGCCAATGTAAGATAGCTATTCATAGCAACCGTACTCCAATAAGCATTATATGGCAGTTATCAACTTTTTAACAGTCAGATTCTTGAGTAAACCTTGTAAACAGCTTTGACAATATTTTTGTCTATTGGGTTTATGCTTAAGATAAATTCCACTTTTGAAATACTGCATTGACATGAAAAAACCTTGTCAAAGGAATTTACAACATAACTGGTAACAATATACTTGATAATTATTCTACTTACCATGAAGAATGACAACTGCTGGGAGTCAATTGCCTCTATATATGGGGCCATTTCCCACCCTGAAACAGAACCAGGATTAGTAGAGCAGCTACATATATTGAATAACATATTCACCTCAATCCTAGAAATTTTCAAACGCATATCCTAGAGAATATATGACAAAACTCCATTAAGATAAATACTTTTTGGAAATCTTTTTCTTCTTTTCCTCCCCAAACCCCCTTTATTTTCTGCCCATTTTGTTGGTTGGTGCAGTTGAAAGTTCCCCAGAGCCACAAAGCTGCAACTTTGCTTCAGAGAGAGGAGGCCTTTGTTTCAGGACACTTCTGGTTACTTTTCCATTCTTGAATATTCATTGTTTCTTGCCTCAAGCTCACTAACAATAAAAGGGAATATCTAATGACGGTTGGATTCCTTGTTTTAGAAATCTTATCATCCGATTCATCCCTTTTCCCTTATGCACACTTTGGAGGACTGCATCTCATGGTAAAGGAAACCAAGACCACAAGGAAAGGATCAGAGGTCCTTTTAGGGGTGGTGATCCTTCTATACAAATCTAGTTGTTTAAATATAATTCTTTTGGTATAAAGAGTGATACCTGAGAAAAGTAAAATCTCAGTGTTTTTTAGCATCTTATCTTATTCTGTGCCTTGGCTTATGGGGTGTATACTTATAGCATGTACTTGGCATTCAACCCATTTTGGCAGTTTTTAGTCTTTATTTTAGTTAAAGATTTCGAGAAACAAAAACTTACAAGGGAATTGTTCGCATTCACATTCTTGATGGATGACTTGTAATTAAATGCATCATTCACATGATCTAACATGAAACTTACGTTGGGTTGAAAAAGCTGCCACGAATTTAAAAAAACTTTGTCATATCCTATCCTTATCCCTTATCCAATTGCAGTACAAGTTTTTCATATAACAGAATAAGCTCTTAATCAGTTAAAGTTATCTACAGTCATGGAATGACACTATCAATCAATGCCTAATAAGAAATTAGAAAAAAAAAAATCGAGATAGATGCACCTACTACACAAGACAACCAGTTAAGCATAATGGGAAAAAATAATAATAAATAAACCAAGAACAATTTGTTTGTGCAAGTCAAACAACAAAAGGTGTCAAAAAAATGAAGGTTCTTCAGGCATCAGCCATACAACCTAACATAACAAATCCAAAGAAGGGCCCCAAAAAGAGTTTTTACAGAGCATTTCAAAGATTGACATACCACATATATTCTCTTTGCATCAAAAAAAGACAAAAGCAGATAACAGAGCTCTTCTTAGCACAAAAATATTTTCTTTAACAGGTCAGGCAATTTACTTTGCATTTCATCATGCCGAGTGCTCCGCTCGATATAGAGACAGTGTGCCAGAACAACAGCCTGTTGGACTCCCTTCAAACGAGTAGCAGCAATACCATCATGTTGAATGCCTACTGCTCTACTTTCGGAATTCTTATCATCTTCTAAGAATTTTGGAGTCAACAATATATCCGAAGTTTCACAGGTTTCATGACGATGTTCAATCAACTTTTCTTCGCCAATAGTAGAAACATTTTTTTGGAGGTCAGGACTTGATGAAGTGTGGGCATCACCACCATTTGATGTACTTGTACCTGAAACCAGCAGAAGTTGGGCCTTCGGTTCCACCTATATCCAGGAATCATGATTTCGCCATTAAAGCCAAGAAGAGGAATCATTGCCAACAAATTACGAGTAATACATCTAAGCCATGTACCTGATGCACAGTCCGGAAACCCAGAACGCCAGTTATAGAAAGATGAAGTCCTGAGACCAATTCAGCTGATCCAAAATGCATCCTGATACAAAAAGGAATCTCAGCAAAAACGGACAGGTATTCTGCGAGGTTTTATGAAGTAAAAAAAAAAGCCTATTAAAGAAAGTTTGATTTTGATTTTATCACATTTACATAAACTACAAAGCAATAACAAAAAACCAATTGATGTAAATACCATTTACGTAAAAAGAAGTTACAGTTGATTGTTGGTTGCATGGAAGAGAGCAACAATGGCTCATAATAAAAAGTTCAAATAATGGAGAGAGAGTGGTGGGGAAAATATATCCCCAGTTTCACCATGATAATTTAGATTTACAGATGAAAAGCACCAAAAAAAAAAATAACTATTTTAAAAAAGAAGGCAATCGTCACAATGCAACAACAAAAGGGGTCTTTATTAGTTCAATCACCTCCAAGATTTCCCCCAGATTCCTTTCTTATATTCATCTTTCTAAGGAAAGAAGATATGTTACTGATCTTTGAGATATTCAACATTGAGATCATCCAACATTTGTCATGTACAAAACCAATTACTACTATTTTAGCTCACAAAGACACCACAAATTGGTCACTGGCTCATTATGAAGTCAATAAAAAAGAGTTGCTTTAGATTAGAATGCCACACAAAGCTTCAAAACAAATACACCTATTTGTTCCCCAGCCCCAGAGAGATGCAGAACTCCCTTTTTCCAGAAAAAAATTAATGCACATGTTATGTAAACATATAACAAGTCTTTTGGCTCTGCATTTATTCCCTTCTCTAATGTTCCTCAGTTGATGCTTTTAGCATTCTACTCATAATGATCCACAGGAAATTTATTCTTTTCTCTCAGGATTGCTTTTAGCAGCTTTCATAAAGCAGACAAAGCTAAAATTCTTTGAAACGAGGCATTTAGCTTTGATTTAGACGGTCAGAATTGAAAGGAACACTGGAAATCTGGTTAACAAGAAACGAGGGGAATAGGTATTCAGAGTGAAGTGCAGTTACAATTTTCTCCTTGTGAATCTCTTACTGAGAAACATAAATGGAGTGCCAATGCTTGTGAATGATTAGGGAACTATCTGCTCCTTCTGTGTGCCTGCAAGTTTAGCGTGTGATTCCTCCTTTAGTGGATAAACAAAATCAAACAAAGAGTTGTACCAATTGTTTGGCGCGATACTCTGTTGGTGAAGCTAATCTTAATTTTGATGGAAGCAAAAGAAGCTCTACCACTCCCATCCCCCACTCCAGAATTACTGAAATAATTAGGGGCCTCTCCAAGACTGATGGGAAGAGGCTTTGCACTTAAAGTGAAGATTCTAGCTCGTCCACAAAGCCTTCAAGGAGCTTTCTCATTAGGTTCTAGTAATTGTTTTAATGACATATATCAGCTAATTAGAAGGCATCTATTACACAGACACCTCTCCTAAGCATACATATCAGTATTGCACACTTCTGGGACACAGATGCCTGTCAAGCAGACCCATTCAGGACATGTCAGGGACATATTTAGGACACTTTTTTTCCATTTTGAAAAAAATTAGAAAACAAATGAGCTAAAAAATCCTCGTATTTTAACATTGAAACTAAAATAAATACTACAAAAGAAAAGCAGATAAGAAGACGAATATACAACCTTTCAATCATTTTGTTATGAAAAACTAGGGCAAGGACAAGAGATTTAGGAAACTAGAAATTTTATCTCCCACGAGCATTGCATTAGACCTCCTCTATCGTCTTCCAACAGCTTATAGTGATTGACAGTGATATACAGGGGTGTCAATCGTATCGGGTTAAACGGTTATGTGTCGGGTTAAACGGGTGACGGGTGAAAAACGTATAAACTCATACACGACACGTTTAATAAACGGGTAAAAAATCTCAACATGAACACGACCCGTTTAATAAACGGGTAACACGACACGACTCGTTTAATCCGTTTAATTTTAAAAAAATTATATCAACAAATTTTAATTCTTCATTTTTTTTACTACTAATTACACTTACCTCAAAAAAGAAGAATTTTAAATTAAATCTTATAAAAATAAGACTTGAAGGTTTTAAAAAAAAAAGCAAGAGACTATTGCCTTTTATAGGCAACTCACCCTCCCCATCTCCCCTCATTTTTCAATATGGGACAAAAACAAAAGACATTGATTTGCCTTTGTCTTTCAAGTGCTCTACAACTCCTCTATTTTGTCTTTGAAAAATAAAACTTGAAGGCTTTAAAAATAAAAGCAAGAATTCATTGTCTTTTATAGGCAACTCAACCCTCCCCATCTCCCCTCATTTTTCAATGTGGGACAAAAACAAAAGACATTTGTTTGTCTTTGCCTTTGAAGTGCTCTCCAACTCTTCTCCTTTGTCTTTGAACTACTACTTTACTTTTTTTTTTTTTATTGATTTCTTTACTTCTTTTTTCTTCCTAATTTTTTAAAATAATTATTAATTTATTATTATATTAATTTTATTTAAACGGGTAAACGTGTAATAAACGGTTTGACAGGTCTCACTCGAACACGACCCGTTTATTAAACGTGTTTAGCATGTCAACCCGTTTATCACCCAAACCTATTAAGATCTCACCCAAACCCGTTTAATTCGTGTCGGTTAATCATGTCGTGTCGAATTTTGACAGCCCTAGTGATATACCTGTCATACTTGAAGTTTGTATTCGTTTCCGATAAAAATTTTCTTTAGTTTTGATTCCATCACTTTGTTGTGTTGATATTGTAATAATGTTGTAAAGTTGATTATTGCTTTAAACTACAAATAATACGTCGATGATTTGTCCTTAATTCCTGGATCAAAATTTACGATACATTATTTTAGTCACTTAGAAAATAGAAACATTTCAAAAATGTTTCGGAAACAGAATTAAAATGCATATAAAATTTGTGAAATTATTTCTAAAACATTCTGAAACACAGGTCAAAATATGTCGAAACAAGTTGAAACACCTTGAAATATTTTGAAACAATGATGAAACACCTCAAAAAATTTTGAAACACCTCGAAACATTTCGACACATCAAAGTATTGAAATTTCGATTCTATTATTGATTCATTTCGATTTTCTTGAAAACGAAAATATTTTGCCCAATCAAAACTTTCATCCTTGGCTTAATTGTAATCTGAGTGTTTTATACACATAATTTTTCCTCGTTATTTTTGGGTCCTATTTTTTGTAGAAATTTAATGTCAGTGTCTACATGTTGTAAGTTCATGTTGGCTTACAAAATCATCTCAAAGGGTCTATTTGTCTACCAAGAAAATGATATAAAGTGACAAAATAATGATGTTTCATGTGTTAGTTTAGCAAGGAAATCATAGAAAGTGCAAGAAAAAAAAATTAAGATTTCCACACAACCTAACTTAGCTTGTTCTTGACTTCCAATTTCCCACAAAATCTACATGAAACTTTACTTTTCCCAAAAAAAGGTAGGTATCATCCCACTTTCCCATTTTGCCCAAATTTTCAGCCACTAAACCTCTTCTTTATCAACTGATTTAAACCCCAAAAAAAAAGATTTCTCTGTCCACCACTATTTCCTCATCAGCTCCACCCTTGTCACCTTGATATTGAGGAAAATTAGAGAAAGTAAGGAACCAAGCAGAGGACGGAGAAGAAAATCATCCATCCAACTATGACACCCCATCTCTCTCCTGCTTTGTCTCTCCCCATGGCAGCGACATGCTGTTGGATGGTGGTCTATTTAGATTTGATGATGCCATATCTGAGTGGGGGATGAAATATTGCAGAGCCAGAAGCCTCGAAAGATCAAAAGAAAGAGGAGCTAGCCGGTCGAGATGGTGAGGTTCATGGCATCAACAATGGTTGTCCACGACGTTGATGTCTACAGAAAGGTTTTGGTGGGATCTCCGAGAGAATTACAAGGAGCTGTATACAGATACTTTGGGTCATAATCTGCATTTCCTACTATGGAGTGTGGTTTGATACGATTTCCAATAAAGAGATGGTCACCTTACCAAATGTTAATTTCCAGATTTTTGGGTCATCGAGGTATAATTTGTTTCTCAGTTTCACTTTTCAGACTAGGATTACACCCATTCAAAACAATAGCAAAATAAATCAGGTAATGATCAGTGATGCCATTGATGGTTAAGACGAAAATGAAGACAAGAATGTAGTGTTATATATCATTTGTTTGTACTTCGATAAATTAGTTTAAATTTAAATAGGTAAGGGCAATTTAGACAATTAAAAGAATTTTTCTATAACTATCTTTTTATCCTAATCAAAGGCATAGAAGACAATATATTTTCTTTTCTTCCCCTTTACTTTCCACCATTATTTTCCTTTTATACAAACGGACCCAAGAGGAATTATCATCAAAAGCATGATAAGAAGTAAATGGAAAATTTTGGTACTTCTCATGGAGCACATTTCAGACCTAACGTAATCCAATGTTAGGGTCATATTTGGTCTTATGATAAGTTCGCGTTGACTGAATAAGCTTCTGGTCAAAATTATCAGTATATTATCTATTTTAGGGGATAAGGCTATTTTGGCAGTTCAACAATTACTAATATGTACGGATCCTGTCAGGGGCCATGGTGGCCTAAAATAGTTCTAATAAGCAAGAATAAACGTTTCTATTGTTGAGTCTCAGCCTAGACATGGATAAGTTCAGCAACCTAACCATATAAATTCATGTCAAATCTCCTTATTCCATCGATATGAGTCCTCCTCCTCTTCTTCCCTTTATTTTCTAAACTTAGATACCTGCAACAAGATCTTGTAAACCACTTTATTTTTTTAATTTGGAAAGGGTCTCTAAACCTATCAAAGCATCCAACCAGTCCCTGGGTGCATGACTCAAGCCGCTAGCTATTCATGGACATACACCAACACCACTAGCCAGTCACCAAGCATACCCCAACCGTAGTCTGTATCCGTAGCCTCAAGGGGAAGACTCAAACTCAGAACCTCCAGCTTTTGGAAGTGAATTCCTGGCCATCTTGTCTATCCCTCGTAAAGCATCCCAATATTTCCTTCAACATGAATCGAAAATTCCACA